TCAGGAAGTTCAGTTGTGAAGTAGTAATTGCATGTAGTCTTGTAGAACTTGCGAACGGATTGACCAAGTATGACGGTGGCAATATCGAAAAAATCCAGTGTGTCGGTGGTATGCATCCGAAGCTTCGCATATGCGTGCCATGACGCTAGGTCAAAGAGAAGGTCAAGGATTATGGTATTGTGAGGCTCGGGCAATAGATTCTCAAATACAGCCATAGCACACTGACAGAAAATTCAGATGATACGCGATATCAATGGTATGGCTACTGACCTGCAGAAGATCCTCGAAGTCTCGAGCGGCCAATTTTTTCATGGCTGAAGCGTTATGGTGAAAGCGGCGAATTGTTCCTCTACCAAATGTAGGGACTCCTCTGTATCTAGAAAGGATATTAGCATACATAATCTGCAAGTGGGCGAGTGCCTTTGGCACCGATGCACCACATCAAAAAATGACTTACCGTTCATTTAGCTTCTGCACTGCCATTCCTCCAGCTGCATGCAAGATTCACATCAGGTGCGTGAAAAGTGCTTTCCAAGCGCCGATCTCGAACTCATGCAGTTGGTCAATCACAAACAGTGAAAACATGTCGATGCCATGGTCTGCTAGTCGTGCAGAAAATGTGTTCTAATGATAATTATCAGTCAGTGTGAATGTTAATAGGCATATAGTAGCACTTACACGAATTGGCACGTATGATTCTTCGTTAAGAATCGCCTTGACACGACTGCCGTCCACTGGAGCTCCAATTTCGAAGATCAATTTCCGAGCCTCTTCCACTCGTTGCCGTCGTCGTAGGCTATCAGTGCGCTCCTGTGTGACCCGGCGCCTCATGTCTAGTACCATTCCCATCATATGAATGTCGGTCTTCTTAACAAGGCAGCGAGGGCATGGACGCTGCCCCAAAAATTTGATACTAGTGAGCAGTATCCTCGAGTAATGCATCAATATCAGCCAAGTAATGTCAGGTAGGACTCACTTTTCTGGATAATCTGCGGAGTATGAGAAAAACTGAGGGAATACCCTTCGTGTAATCCCATCACTACAGTGAATAACAATACCGTGCTTATATGCTTCCACAAACTTTCCATCAAGAATTAACTCCCAAATTGCGTGAACCAACTCGCGTTTGAGGTGCGTGAACGTGCTACTTGATGCTGGTTCACCAAATATATCCACATAAACGTCTTGTAAATTATGTGGCAGCTGCAGGTAGGTTCAGTAAAATATGTTTGTAAAGAGATGTATACATACATTGGGAATATATGCCAAGTGGTGACACGCACGAGCCATAGGCTTTCCTCGTGTATATTTGGACTGATTACCGAAGAATAAGTAAAGTGGCCAGAGAGATGCGTCTCCAAAGCTTGCTAAGTGGGTGGCGTCTGACCAGACCATTAGTGAGGCAATGACACGCTCGAGTTTGTCATCAGGATCTCGGGGAAGAGCATTCAGTTCTTTTTAAGCGTTCACCATTTCAGGGGAGGCATAGGATTCAGAGAAAACTTCCAGTGTTCGATTATCTGGGGTATTCCAGTACTGGCGGAATGGAGTCATGTTGAAATGCAGTGACACATCATCCTCGAACACGCGCGTGATGATATCAACTAGAGAACGGTGGTAAACGCCAGGGATTGCGAGCTCAGGAGTGTCGGTCTCTGATGGGAACTTAGCCTTCTCGTTGGGTAAGCGGATCTTGACAGTAGACCTTTGCCAGCCGTAATGTTCGTGGAAGGGATTGGATCTACCATCAAGGTAATCGTCTAGCCGTTTGCTCTCGCGTGTGTGATTGAAACCAACTAAGTCAGCCTGCTTAAAACTGGGATCACGAAGGAACTCAGCAAGGCGATTGAGTTCAGTTGCTGATTTTGCATTACTGCCAGAATAGTGCCAGGCCATCAAGAGGGCTGATGACAGATTTGTGAATGCTCCAAACAGATCATCATCACTGATTTCGGGGGAGGAGACTCCTGGGTGCACTCTGTGAGGGGTAGCACATGCACCCTCAAGGGTCAGAGCATCTGTGACGCCCTCTAGTGTGCAGTTAGCTTCTGGGGCCAGAGTGGGGCGCATTGGATATATGCTGTACAGACCGAACATATCTGGTTGTGTTTGGAAGGGTATAGGCTGGGGAGGATCAGGTAGATCAAAGGGTGGTGGTGACGGCTGGGGTGACGAAGCAATGCAGCTTTGGGGAGCTTCGTTCTCATTACCCGACATGCCTGCATGTCGCTGTTGAACAATTGAAGGTATGTGTGCAAGGTGTGTACGTGTGCCCGGAAGATAGTCAACGAATCGACGTGGCATGCGAATAGTGCGTCCAGAACGTTTTGATGTGATCGTAGGGGCTGGAGGTACATTTGATGGATCACCAATATTCTGGAATTGGTAAGTGCATTGTAAGATTTGGCTCTAACGATCCAGACAAAACATACCTGATCTACCACGGCTGTATCATCATCCACATCCATCCCACTATCATCCATTGCCCTTGCTTCACCATCCCTCGCTTCCTGCATCACCTCCTCCTGTTCAATCCAAGGCCGTTTTGACCTCCTTCCATCGTTAGACTTGTGCCGTTTGATGGCACAGTGTAAAATGTCCGAGAGCTTCAGAGCTTTGTTCTGCAAGCAGCGGGAACGATGCCCAGAGAGCGATCTTTGTGTGTGAAAGGTCTTACCACAGGCAAGGCAGGGCTGCTCCATCTTGACCGAAGAGTTGAAAGGCTCAGACTCGGAGCGATGCGACTCGGACAGCGGCTGAGGAACTTCGGCCCACTCGGAGCTATTGAATAAGATTCAATGTTAGTCCTGGGTCGGATCAAAGCTGATAATATTAATATTAAATATATATATCGTATGGAAGCGTCAGCCAAGATAAATAATATTTAGCACTTTGCTCTCAATGTGGCAATACCCCCAGCGGCGTTCATAATGCTAGCCTTTCGGATCTCACTCATGACCGATCGCTGGTGGCGGACCGCCTCAACAACGTTACCTGTGCCTGCCTCGCCCTTGGTGCGGACGGAAGCAGCGCCTTATGAGATGCGACGAAGGGCCTTGCCAGTGGAAGTCGGCCAGAAGTCAGGCCGGAAATAAGATAGATAGCCTAGTACAAGAAATGAAGTCAGTACACATAGTAGGTAGTAGGAATCGATATGATAAAAGTTAAAAACTGTCAGGCTTAAATGCTCAGAGTCGCCTCCTAGAGGCGTGTTGGACCAGGAAGTGAAGTGCAAATATAATAAAAATAAGAATAAAAAAAAACTCACCGGGTATCTTCGTGTGCTTTGAGGGCGGGATACAGGAATGGCAGGAAGGCTTGAATGCACGGAGCAAATCCGACCTGGATTTGAACGGAGCGTCGGCGTTGAAATGACACTGAGGGACAGGACGACGTTAGTGTTGGTGATGCAGATGAATTGAAGGGACGATCTCACCTCGCGACCTTGGGTAGCAGCAGTCGCTGGTCAGGACGTAATCTAGATAGAGAGTGAGCAAGAAAGAAAGAAAACGGTCAAAATAGGTGGATGTGGTGGAAGGGGAAGCAGCGCTCCACTACTCAGCCTCGGGGCGGGGACGGGCCATACCGGGCTTCATAGGGAGGGGAGTTTAAGCAAACCGAAAAGAAAGGACGCTCACCGATACTACAATATCCAGCGCCCTGCTCTGTCCCTCAGCCCACAGGAAACAGCTCGAAGACGAGCTCCTGCATACTCGGAGAGGTGGAAGAGGCTGCAAAAGCCGAAGAGACGCGCAAGCAGGAGGAGGAGGCCGCCGCCGCCAACAAAGAATTGTAGATGTCGAGGATGGAGTTTCTGACGAAGTCCGAAATGTTGCATGTGACTTTTCAGAAGTCCGCCGGCAAATGCCGGTCAAGCAGTAAATGCGTCAACATGTACAAATAATGAGGGAATCAGCGTCCGTCCGTCCATGCCGGCCTGTCCCGTCCGTCCCGTCTGTTCTAATCAATTGAGTTTGAGTCTTAGCGGACCGTTTATCACTCCTGCACAACGGGTGCCATCTGCTCAGGTGCAAGTAGAACGGGCCGACCCTGGCCTGACGAAAGCAACTGTCTGGACTACTAAATGTCCATGATCGTAAGTTTTTTTCACCTATATGCACGCATATATTGACTAATATTGCATATTAGCCATACAAAAGATGTCTTTCGCATTGCACCTATCATCGAGGATGCACATGCTCACTTGGACAATGATTCTAATGCAGACGACACACAGTACTCTCTTAGCTAACATGTAAGTGATATTTTTGTGTTTATTTACTGCTAACAGTGACAAGATCCAAAGACATGCAGGACCAGATGCTCCGGACGTTCAAGAAGATCATTACAGGCGCCCCTTACCTTCAAGAACTCGTAAGAGATTAGATGCCGGGATACAGACCCTGGGTGAAGGTTTAGAACTGTGGCACGGATACTTCCAGTAAGCTCAGGATCTCTGTGGCGACACACATTTGACCAACATACAATTATCAGGAGTGTTCACCCTACCATTGGAAAGAACATTGATGTGTCGACAGCGGTCATGTAAGCAAGCCTGTCTCACTTAACACTCATGTAAATCTAAATCTCAGGTTCAAGCAGGGTAGCTTTCAGACCGCCGCTCTTGCTGTTCTCAAGCAGAACAATGTTCATGCACTGGACCTCTGCCCAGATTTGCCGCAGTTCAGGCAGGTGAAGAACTTCTTCAAGGGCGTTTCTGTCACGCTCATCCACAGGCTGGCAGGTTTCAGACCGCCGCTCTTGCTGTTCTCAAGCAGAACGACCTTCATGCACTGGACCTCTGCCCAGATTTGCCGCAGTTCAGGCAGTTGAAGAACTTCTTCAAGGGCGTTTCTGTCACGCTCATCCACTGGCCAGGCCTCGAAAATATTTGAGGATTGTATCTTCGACATTACCCATTGTTATCAGCCCAACAGCATGCACCTTCGTTAAAATACTGATTGTTGTTACACTAGTACGGTGAGTTTATATACAACAATTCACATCCCATGGTTTTCAATAGCGTTACAGATTTCATGAAGAACTTCATTTTGCCTGTTGATGATTGTTTCGATCCTACTCATAGCCTCATGCACTCCCACAACTTCCTGCATGACCTTCGCCACCAATCTGCCTTCAAATATTCCGATCTTCCTGCGTTTCTCAGGCGGAAGTTCGATGATAGGTACTGACGTTGCTCGTGCGTTAGTAACGTCACGGCCTAAGTTGCATGGGGTCTGCATGTAAGTTGTGAGTGCATCGGCTGAAAAATTGAGCCAGCACACTCACACCATTATCTTCAGATCTTTTTCGCTTTCGATGAGATTCATCAGCGTCTTCAAGACCATCTTGACTTGGAGCTTCTAGCTGCTGAAATCGGAGTCGTCAAAGCAGCTAACTATAATCCATAGATACATACTGGCTCTGGTTGTTCGTGCTGTGTTAGGAGGCCAGTCATCAGGTTTGAACCCTCCGGATAGCGTATCATGCTTATAGCATCCACATGAATATACTGGAGCGCCTTGCCCATGGCCAGGATGCCTAGTGCATCCCTGGTGACTTTCTGGAGTAGACCTGTTTGAATGGTTCTCAAATAAGTCAGTGTTCGCTAAGATTGCCTCAAGCCCATCATTGAAGTCGCTGGGGCGGGAGTCGTTGCTAAGGGTGTCACAGTCAGATGACATGTTTCTTGCTTACTCCGTCAAGTGTAAGGCTTTTAAATTATTGGGACTTAGCCTGACTTGTGCTCCATTTCAGAAATTCTTTTGGGTCATTATTGACCCTGCATTGTAATGCGTCACTCTGTCGGATCCCAAAGTATGTGGAGCATGGTGAGCTGAATTATATCCATATAGATTTATTGATTCATTGCTTAATAACTAGCGTCTGGTCACTCCCCACTTTTTATTGTAAGGTAATGATCCGGATTAGCACCCCACCTCCCTTCCCTGAAAAAAATCCCGTTTCAGGAGCGGCGACCTTACCTGGGACAAAAATGGTTAAGTGTATGATGTACCTGATGGTACCGCAACTATGATAATGCTACTAGTAGTACTAGTGTGGTGGTCAGTGAGCGTTTGATGCAAACGTCTTCCCACATTTTCTCTCATGTCTGCTCACAGATCTTCCAGTGCGGCCACTCGCTTACTGACACCATCCGAATTGGACAGCGGCTCTGAGTCTGAGTTGGCCTCCAGCTTAGATGCCTCGTCGCCACCAACACAAGATCCAAAGGCCAAGTCTAAAGCAAAGCATAACAAGTAAGTGGTCGCACAATAACCTGGTATACTAACTGAGCTGATCTATTATATTCGCAGCACGGTAAATAACCAAAGGTAAGTTGACTTGATGATATGCAAAAGGCACTGCGTCACCTTTTACCAATAGGAAAGGCAGCATCACCGCGAGGGAACAGTGCTTGCACTTTGCACACTGGATCCCTCGTGCCATCGATATGTTTTGTAGCTTAACTGATACATTCCGTATTGCGATGCTAATGGAAGAGGAAGAGGCTTCTAAGGTGTCGGGTCACTCAGAAGATGAAGATGTCAAGGCGCAGCAAGACCAAGTCCTGTCTTACGTGTATGACTTTAGACATTCCATTATTTTCACTTCCTAACTACCATGTTTACAGGGGTAAAGATGCCCAAGAACGACACATGAGAAATTACTCAAAGATCTTACTTGGAGCCCCATACTTGCGCATGGAAACGTCAAACAACAGACGGAGCTGCACGCTATCCTTACCGAGGTAAGCCTCTGGTGATGTACCCTTGGTGATCTTACCTCTAAACCTAAGAAGATGCAAGTCATTATGGGTCAGGCACGCTCTGACGACGCTAGCCACCTTAAGAATTGTGTAGCGCAGTATGCAGCCCCAGACCCTTCAGACAAGGGGCTGGAACCTCCGATTTACGCTGACAACAAATCCCGCGCATTACTTGGTGTGAACCACCCTCAACTCGCTGCAATGCTGTGCCCTATCAAGCATGCAAAAGCATATCATGAGGACCCTAAAAAGTACGTATGAATTCTATGATTGTTCATCATCTTATTGATGACTTTCAGGGTACAAGCCAAACTTCAGAATGGGGTTATCAGGATTCACTCCGCTGCATGGCCTGCATTTATATATGAAGGTACTCCGCCAGGAAAAGACTTCGACCCAGACAATGTTCAGGAGGGATTTTCAAAGGGCTATTATTTGAAACGGGTAAGCTTACTATTACCTTATCAACAACATCTCATGTAGTATTTAGGTTTTTCGTCACATATTTACATCTCCATCATCTGCGCTCGTTCCAGATGGAGAGATTATTCCGAGTCGTGGATGTAATGCCAAGTTACACAGCATGGAAAAGGTTGAGCCTGAACATATTGCCTATGCATTCGTCCAGGTACGTGCTCTAATATATTTCAATGACTATCTAACAAATGTCATAGAGCCGATTCAGTATTGCCACGCGCGACAAGTGGCATGAAACCGATGGTTGCTATAAGTACAATGAAGCATACACCCGCTTCATCAAGGCAATCAGAGAGGCACCTGATCAAACATGGGCAGAGTCGCTGCTTCAGTGGTGGAACCAGTTGAGTACCATTTTTGCTCTTACCTTGGCATCGCACTAATTTTGTGAAGAACAGTATTTGGTAACAAGCATGGCCTCATCGTGATTGATTTGACCGAGGATGATGAAGACGATGACCTTGTTGTCATGCAGAGACAGCACGAAATGTGCATGGTGGCTGTGCATCAGAAGGTTCGAATCTACTCTATCATTCTCCAATACTAACTGCCTCTAACACTCAGACACGATTGCCCGAGAATGCAGCTGCTACCCCAGCTGCTGCCGTCGCTGAAGACACTGCTGTGCCCCCAACTTCTATGCGACAATCCAAGGCTGCTGACCCACCAATTCCGCCCCTCGCATCTCCATCTGCGACACCTAGTTCCATTGACCCAGAGTCTCTGAAACGAATGTTGGGGGAGTTTCAAGATGACGATCCTCTCACTGAAGATGAGACTGACATGCCTGCTCCATCAAAGCGTGCTAGGAAGGCTTGCAAGACTACCACAACCTCAAAGAAGACACGCAAGGGCAGAAAGTGATGCATTCAGGTTGGTTCTTACTCCTATTGTGCCTAGTGACTCGTCTGAATGAACAATGCAGTTTTGACATGATTATGCCCTCCTCTCGTTCGTTGCACATCATTACTATCACTCTCAGAGTGTCTCATATTTGCTCAGCATCTTCAATATTAATCCTACTTGCTTTCTGCCGCACTGCGACCATCCTCAGTTCAAGTTGTACTACTTCCCTGGTTATGAGTGTTTTTACATGTTCAACTACTACTGTACGAGCAGAATGATATGTGCTTATATTGTATGACAGATCTGATCAGGCATCAGCAGGAACTAGCATATAGGTGAACGTTCAGCAACTGAGCGCGTCTCGTTCATACAATACCTAGATGATGGAAGTTCAGCAGGACTTAGATGCTGGCCAACAGATGATGGGATGTTCAGGAGATGACTGGTGATTGAGAGTCAAACGAGTTTCTAAGTCTTGCAATATCTAGTTTGGCATGACTTAGACGCAGCCACCAGACAATACGACATCGAGCATCAAACCAGTTTATGGGCTTTACAACATCTAGATAACGAAAGGTGAGCATGACTTAGATATAGCCAGCGTGTGGCGGAAAATTCAGCAGGATGATGGCCAGCGAGCAGAAAGTCAGTTTTAGGAGCAGACATTATCTGGACAAATTTGATCTGGTGGTACCTGGCCTGTCTGATGGATCTGTTCCCCAGTGTTGTCGTATGATATGGCAAGCGCTTGCCATATCTAGATTTGGGACTTTTGGTGATGCTAATTCCTGGCACACGACGCGCATGGGCTCCTCCTTCAAACAGATTTCATTCGCTTATCAGCAGACTTCAAACCGGTTTTTCTCTGACGTCTGATGATTGCCAGATCTAGACCAGCCCTGTGCAACTGGTCATGTCGCGTGATAAGTTTCGAAACGCAAAACTAGAGCGGAGCCGCACTCATCTGGTATTGATGTTATCTCAGTAAGTGATAAACCTGGTGACAGTTTTACTCATTCTCATAACTCTGGCAAGCATATGGTAGAAGCCGTAGAGTGAGTCACAGGTGTTTCAAAGATAACGACTTGCATCCCTATTGCGGCTACGAAGCCTGCCAACAAGTGCTTAATACGGCATAGACCAGCCTGTCGCTTGTGGTTGACACCACCATCCTGCCATATAACACTCGTGTCAAGGGGCCTTGATCACGGTCGGTCGCTTTCGTCGTGTGCCTGAAAGCTGTCTAACATTGCGCGCAGAACTTGACTGTCCACTCAATCAATGCTTATAACTCGTTCCTCAATCCATGAACACTAGATTGCCAAGCCACGTTCCCTCGAACTCTTTAGCTCCCTGAACGTCACAAAGTTCAACGACCTGGGGAAACCCACCCTTACAATCCATTCCTACAAGCCTGGAACGTTGGAACCTACCCTACGATACAATTTGTACGTACTACGCAGAACCGCCATTTCTCAAGCAACCATGCTTTTAGTATTGTAACACGTCCCGAGTTCATAGGTCAACAACCCCTATAGTATGTGATTCTGCGACGCCACATCGAGAAATTCTCATGCTCTGTCGAGATGGACACTAAACTGTGTTTGTTCGAGCAGTCCGACGAAGGTGTCATAGGTTCTAGGAAAGAACGGTATATTGGAGATCTTATACTAAGAGGATGATCCATGCTGACGGTGCTAAAGGTGATATGTAATAGTCCAGCATTCAACTTTGTACGATCCCCTTGCCCTGCATCTGTCATTACTGCTAACTTCCTACTGCCGTACTCTAGTGTTGTCTCCAGTTCTTGAAATCATTTCTATCTACCACTCACGACATTTGTGTTGAACATTCGTTCTTTCTGATTTCCCCTGTTCATTATCACTTGGTATATCTTCTATATAATTTTTAGACTATCTTTATAGCACGCTAGACATGGCTATGGTATCTCATCATATGGCATGGATATATCCTATGTAGTTGTTGGATTTTATTAAGCACATATTGTGTTGTGTGATCAGATGGCCGTTACGGATACGGATATCAAAAGGACTGAACCAGTGAGTTGTTGGCGATTATGCAGAAGTACTAGTACAGCCATTCATAACTACAGTCAACAGAGACGACAACGATAACGAATGAATGAAAGAACTCGAAGGTATGTAACAACATTCGTGAATGTATTCCAAACCCAAATATTCTAGGAGGCTCCCACGACATGCGGCGCAGTAGCCACTCTCAAAGATCTAAGATGCCTGTTGACTTCAACCCAACTTAAACTATATAGGTTTTGAACTTGGTCGATACAAGGGAGCCAGGCGGAAATGATGCGAGCGATAATTTCAGCATCCGCTATTTGAAACTCGGATGACTCCAAATCCAATGATCGTAGGGAGGTATGTTGTATTGGCTCAGCATCAGGATCGATGTCGATAGTTGCAATCTTGATTGGAACTTGTAGTGTATGCAATTGTGGACATAGACCGAGCACTGTGAATAATCCACGGAGGGTGACTTCGGAAGAAAAAGCAGAGTCATCAATTTCCAGGGTGCAGATGTGCGGCCAACTAGACATAGCTTGCAAGAGCATGTCATTGTCCAGGTAGATGTGAAAATTATTCAACATGAGCTTCAGGGTTCGGAGCTGTGTGAAGCAAAGGAAATGCGGAATTGGTGTCAAAGATCCGTCGTTTCCCATGAATTCGTCATCATAAGAACAAATGGAGATTTCTTCTAGAGTCCGACAGTGGGACAGAGCATGAAAGAGTTGCTCGGCCTGTTCTGAAAAGAAATAGTTGGCTTCAAACGCGAACTCTTTCAGCGAGGGAAATTGCGAGTGTTGCATGACTGTGATGATATCTTTAGGATCGTAGAGCTCTTGAAAAAAAAGGGTTGTGATGTTAAGGAATGATAGATTCACGATATCTCATTTTGACAACGAAGAAGGGTCATTACATCCTTGCTCAATTCTCAATTTGAGAAGAGTAGGGAGGGAGGAGAGGTGCTTCCATGTTGCCCAGTCGAGCATTGGACAAGCCAGAGTTACAAGCTGCGTGCACCAATGAATCCTATCAGATAGCGGGGACAGCTCATCTGCTGTGCTGTCGCCATCGCATATTTCAGGAGTGTAGATGCGTAGATGCTCCAGAGCAATGCAACGTGTCACAAAAGATTGCAGACCCTCGTCGACGCTCAATAGATGACATCGGTGCAGCATGTGAGGCAGAAAGTGGTTCAAATATGTGGTGGAAAGACTTAATGACTTCAGCTTTGGAAATATGCATGCCTCGGCAGGGATGACAGAGAGAAGGTGTGGATGTTCGGATTTTATGTCCAATGTGCATATACGGGAGGAGTGACGCAGAAATTGATGGACCTCATGGGCAGATAATGGCTCGACATCTTTCGCCCAGGGCTCGTTCCACTATTAATATTATGTAGACGCTCGGTGAGCCGAAAACAAACAAACAAAGCGTAATAAAGTCGTGCACTGACCCTTGTACGACTATGATGATATATCAGTGGATGTAGCCTCGCTACACAACCTAGCAGTGGTTCTAACTCATGGATTTCAACCCACAACAAATCCATCGCAGGCTCATAGAAGATTTTGCATGTCCTTGCAAGCCCTGCAAACAATTTCTGGGTCGATGTTTGAGTAGATGGTATTGTGTTCACATAGGCGAATATCTCCAGGATGACTTCAGGAACAAGTAAAGCTTGATGCATCATTGGGGTACGGTAGAGTCATGACTCAAGACAAGGTTTCATGTAAACCTAAAAGCATTGCCTAGTTTCTTCACAATGACATGACTTGCGCGCGAATGGGCTTGACTGTGCTCGTACTATGTACTGAAGCAGAAGACGAAGCTGCAAACGATTCTAATTTGAAATAACACGACATCAGGAAAATAACATGTGACTACAGGTGGCTATATAGTCGCTGTAGTACCTGTAGTCCCGTTTGTCAAGTCCCTTCTACATGCGGCTATATAGCCACACAGGTCAATATATAGCGCTATGAGAGTCACTGGTAGCTCGTCGTAGCAAGCTACAGGCAGCTACACAGTGCAATAGCTAGCACTGGTAGGACTTACTAGCTTCGCTTTTTTGAGCTACAGGTGCCAATCCACGCTACCAGCTGAAATCGACGAAACAGGATAGAATTACAGTATAACAGACAGTATCTGTACAGTACTACAAGGAGCAGCATCAAAGACTACCCGGTGGCACACTTCCCTGGCGCTCCTCTCGGGCTTCTCTAGCCTCAGCTTCAAACTCTTGAATCGCGTCGTCAAATATCTCATCTGTGAAGCCAACGGAAGTTGCGTGTGCTGCCAGTGAATTCACCCCAGCATGGAACCTTGCCATCTGCATTAGTTTGCAGGATAATCAATGCAAGTGGCCACCAACATACCAAGCAACGTCAAGGATATCGACACCAATTTTCTTGAGTAGTTTGTAATGTGAGGTGCACTCGTCAAACCGCTGTAATGAGCTGAGATGGACCAGGTAGGCCGGAGTATAAGCTGTTGACAAGAATTTTATGTCTTCCTTCACCCCGGTTATCCACTCGTGAAGGCAACATTCAATCTGTCAGACCGCAGGAGTTATGTAGCTACTATGCTACAGCATCAACATCTGAAGCCACACACCGCTGTGAGAATAAGTGCAAGAAGTTCAACTGGTAAAGGGTCGAAATATTTATTGTAAATCACACCCTCATCATTGCGGTTCGCAAACCACATGTCGTTCACCACTGACTGTATCAACCCAGTCTTGTAAATCCCGCTTCTCTTCTCCCAGTCCTATCACTCTGCCAGTCAGATCAACTGACAACAGGCCATGTCAGAATCAGCTACGCACCTTGAAAACGAAACACGTCCCATCCTTCAGAGATTCAGCTAGGTCGCGATTGTGTGTCATAGCCGCTATAGATTGGCTTGTGCGGAAGCCAAAGAATGATGCTGTAAGTGTGCGCATCTTACTTTTGAGCTCCCCGCGCACTTGTGAAGTGCGCCTCGTCATCTAGATAATATATATCATCAATAGGATAAGCATGTGGACATTACCAAGTGACTCCTTACCAATTTGACCAACGAAGGAGTTAGTTGAATCGTAAGCCCTGCCAATTTAGATGCCTCTCGCCAGGCCTCCTTGGCTAGTAGTGTCTCGCTGATAAGAGTCTGAGGAAAAGGTTCCCGTGTCACGACTAGACAGCGATAGATAGACACGGCAATGGCCAGCAAATCCTGTGTGACCTTATCGAAATCGCCGGCCTTTAATCGTTGGTGTGATCTGTCCAAAGCTTTATGGAATTTTAGCGGCTTGGTTTCTTCGTCACTGTCCTGCAGTTGGTGCTTGGTCCTGACAACCCGTGGTGAAATATCATCGACCACTGCTTTGTGGCGAAGGTCTCCAGTGTGATGAGCACTGCAAACAGATTCAATGTCGGTCAATTTGTGTTCATCCTCGTTGTCATCAGCATGCTCGCCATCCTCACTGGAGGACGTGACAATTGCAGAAGCTGACAAAAGTGCCGTGTTAGTATTGCAGTCATACTGTATAACCTAAGACACAGTACCTTTGGGAGACTTACTGATGGGTGTTGGAGCTGAGGCAGTGCTGAAGCGGTCCTTACTGAAAGACTTTGGGGCCAAGACAGCGGGAGGAGTTTTGCTCGTACTGTACATGAGCGCCTGCGGCTTAGTTACCTTTGTAGGTACATAGCGATGCAAGAACTACAATGACATAGTGAGCGAAGCAGCACTGCAAAAATGAGACATGTACCATTTTTTCTTCTTCGATGTCCATATCACTGAGGAGCTCCGCAGGCTCGTCGTGGAACTCCTCCGGATTTTTTTGGTATGCAGCACGCAGTACCTTTAATTTGTGTTTCTCCATTGTTGCATTGAAGTCATGTTGGCGGTTTTCGCCTTGACGAGCTTCTAGTACTGTTGAGCAAAAGGGAGTCAGTCGTATTAGAACATCGACTTGCTGCATTGTACTTACATCTGTAGGTCTCTCTTTCAGTCGGTCGGCGTTTGCGACCACTTGCGGTGCGTCCCGCAGTCGATTCCATCTCAGCACATAGCTCATCCTGAGCCTTGGAAATAGACTTTTTAGAAGCCTTCTTTGAGCTTGCTTTTGCAGGCATAATTAAGGGTAAGTAGCAATGGCGACAACATAGACAGACGTACCCTTTATAAACACTGGGGTGGCGTGCAATCAACAAACAAATTTTAGAGTTTTGTTGATTTGAATGTAAATTTTTCATCTGTCCAAGCGGTGTCAACACAACAGCATAAGTAAGGGATGCGGAACAGCTTTTCGTTCAACTCCTACCCAAAATGAGCACTCAGTAAGTTGCTTCGCCGGCAGATCCAACATTGGCCTCATGCTAAACAATGTTTCAGTCCAGCCTCCTTACCATTGAACACTGACCTCATACCTCCTCCGAGCCGACCTTTTCAGGTCGTTTGTGCTCCAGGCCAGGTTAAGGCTAAGGCTAGGGAGGGACCGCCCCCTCTTGAGATTCTGTTTCCATTGCCACCGTTTCGTCAAACACCAGGACCGATACAAGCATCTCAAACTTACATTCGAACACTTATATTGGAACGCTGGGATGCAGAGATAAGGCACTGTGAAGAGACGTGTAAAGTTCAGCTCCTAGAACGCATCCAGGACCCAGTAACTCACCAAGCATTTTTGCGGGAGATGATAACACAGCGTTGGAGTGCAGAGAAGAAGCGGTGCGAAGAGGCGAGAAAAGTCCAACTGTTGGAACTCCTACTTGCGGCTCATGGTATCACTACCCTAGTTTAGTCAGTTATGTCAATTGTCAGTCGGGAATGAAAGGTGCCGCACCGGAATGAATGGAGATGATGGCAGTAGTAACCAAGGCCAAGAAGAAAAACAAGCCAAAGAATGCGTGAGCTCTACATTTGCAAAGGGAGAAATAGACAAGACAAGGACGAGAGAAATCGTCGAAACAAGCCAAAGAGAAGACATGCAATGCGTGAACTCTACATTTGCGAAGGGAGAAAGATAGAAAACCAAATAGAAAGGATGGTGGTAGAAATAGAAAGGATGGTGGTAGTAGTAACCAGGGCCAAGAAGGAAAAGCTAAGAAGAAAAAAAGGTAAAAGAGAAGACATGCGATGCGTGAACTCTACATTTGCAAAGGGAGAAAGTTAGAAATTGTTGAAACGAGCCAAAGAGAAGACATGCGATGCGTGAATTCTACATTTGCAAAGGGAGAAAGTTAGAAATTGTTGAAACGAGCCAAAGAGAAGACATGCGATGCGTGAACTCTACAATCGCATGTCGTGGCGTTGAAATGAAATGTTCCTGAAAAAATGGGTGCTTGTGAGTGTATGGGCGAGTTATGGTAACAACGGACGAACCATGCCTTCCTGTGTGTTCTGTGGAAAGGTAATAACCACACATGGAGGTCTCAAGAGACACATCACAAGCCATCCTGAATGTCGACGTCAGTGGGTAACAATGATTGAGGATAACGAGGCTGGGAATTTAGACGCACAAGAAGCACCTGTCGACTTCTCCCACAATGATGCAGGCCATGTTCATGCCCACCCATCTGCCGATATGGACAATAACCCTGCTCCTAACAAAAGTCGTCGTGTCACCGTCGAGGATGTCGAGGACGAGGACGGTAGTTCCTCCTGGCATTATTTGGAACCTCAACTGGATGCGGGCTGGGCTCTGCGTGGCGGGGAGACAAAATTTGAAAGATGTAGAAGATATCAAGAGGAAGAGGGCGAGGAAACATGGTCACCTTTTGAAGATGCGTAAGTGTTCGAATGTGCTGGTGGCAAGGGGAACTAAATATATATAACTCACCAGCGAAGAATGGGATTTGGCCCAGTGGCTCGTAAAAAACCTTGGTCAGAACCAGACTGATGAGTTCTTGAAGTTACCAATAGTACATTGAAAAAGTTGACTAAACTCACAATATTGACATGGTGACCAGACACAAAATCGCACTAAAGTCTCCTTTCATAACAACCGCTCGTTCTTGCAGAGGGTTGACCAACTACCGCATGGACCAGATTGGAGCTGCAGGAAGGTTACCGTGGGCGGTAACCATGATGATGAGAACGGGGTACCATTGCAAGAGGACGTCGAACTTTGGAGCCGTGATCCTTTGGAGTGTGTCAAAGAGCTTATCGGCAACCCTTTGTTCAAGGAGGATATTGTGTACTCACCTGCCAGAGCATATGCAGATGCTGTGGGGCAACACAGAGTGATCAATGAGATGTGGACGGCAGACTGGTGGGGTGAGACACAAGTAAGAAATTTAAGAGGGAACAATACAAAAATGGACTGACCTTGTATCCAGAAAGCCTTGCCCAAAGGTGCGACTATAGCACCAATTATTCTATCGTCAGACAAGACCTGCTTGTCGCAGTTCCGAGGGGACAAGTCTGCATGGCCGGTGTACATGTCTATCGGCAACATATCTAAAGCAAAAAGGCATCAAGCATCAGCACGAGCAACTGTCCTCATCGGTTACTTACCTGCAGGAAAGTTGGACTGCTTCACCTCGGATGCACACTCCCTGGCCAGATACAGGCTGTTTCATCATTGCATGAGTCTACTCCTCCACCCTCTCATAGCCGCAGGACGAGACGGTGTTGAAATGGTCTGTGCGGACTCGCAGATTCGGCGTGTCCACCCCATACTGGCTGCGTATGTCGCCGATTTCCCGGAGCAGTGCTTGGTATCTTGTTCCAAGGAGAATCGCTGTCCAAAGTGTCTGGTATCAGCAAATGAGCGAGGTGATGGACTCACCTCTGTGAATTGTGACCCAGAGTCAATGAAAGATACTCTGGAAAGGCGTAAGTTAGGTCAGCATCCTCTGGAATTTGAGGAAAACGGTCTACGTGCCATTTATAAACCTTTCTGGGCCAATTTGCCTCATTCCAACATCTTCCTGGCATTCACTCCCGATCTTTTGCATCAACTCCACAAAGGAGTATTCAAGGACCATCTTGTGAAGTGGTGTGTTGACATTGTCGGCGAGGAAGAGATGGACGCGCGATTTAAGGCGATGCCGGATTATCCGGGGCTCCGTCACTTCAAGAAAGGTATATCGGCTGTTAAACAATGGACCGGAACTGAGCATAAAGAAATGCAACGAGTGTTTGTTGGGTTACTCACTGGAGCGGTGCCTAGGTCCGTGTTTGACGACTCTTTGAAGACCATGTTTGTTGATGTTGTGGCCTGTCAGCCGTGTCTTGGTAGTTGCGCGTTCAATTATTGACTTTTCCTATTACGCGCAGCTGCAAACTCACACCATGGACATGCTCAAAGCCCTACAGACTGCCCTGGGAGTCTTTCATGCCAACAAAGATGTCCTGCAGGAACTCGCCATTTGACAGCATTTCAACATACCGAAGTTACACCAATTAACTCACTATGTTGATTCAATCACATTGTTTGGTGCCACTGATGGCTTTAATACTGAGCTTCCCGAACGCTTGCATATCGACTTCGCGAAGGACGCTTACTGTGCAAGTAACAAACGTGATTACAAGGAACAAATGGCTTTGTGGCTTCAGTGGCAGGAAGCTGTGTTTTTGCGTGGTGCGTACCTCGATTGGATATCGCAACAACCTCTCTTGGCAGGTCATGGAGAGCATCATACATTTGACTCAGACTCAGACTCCGAGTCTGAAGAAACAGACTCCCAAGTCTAACACAGCACTGATATCGCCATTGGCCGCTGCCGAAGAAGTTCAAGTGACCCGGCACATCATTGCGAAGGTTCCAGCATATCCTCACCAAACTGTTGCAAGGATTATGACAGCCTATGGCGCCACTGATTTCCTCACTGCTCTCCAAACTTTCCTTCGCAAGAACCTCCCGCACAACACCATCATACCTAGCCTTTATGACCGCTTTGACGTTTATCGTCATGTGGTCATCATAGCGCCGCCGGATCGACGAGTCAGCGATACACCTAAACGGTGGCACGTTAGAGCAACGCCTGAAGTTGCTGCATCAGGGCGGAATCCTGGTCATCCGGCTTGTTTTGATATGGCACTTATATCAGACAGGCCTCAGTCTTCACGCTTGCGCACTCTTGATGGTAAGATGTTTCTGGGTGCTCGAGGATCATGATATCTAATGCGTGATCTCCTGCAGGTGTGCAAGTCGCTCAGGTTCGCACTATATTCTCCCTCCCTCATTAATTCGGCACTTACAACAGGACCCTCGCTTATATCGAATGGTTTACGCCATTCAGACCTCCAGATCCCCCCTCTCAAATGCGACAGGTCTCCCGCTCGACATGCCAACTCCGCCGCAATACGGCAGTAATCCATGTCGACGAAATGGTGTGACCGTGCCACCTAATACCAAAGATGGGCCATTCAGTGGATGCGAGGTTGAGAAGTGGAAACGGATATGAGGTGGCAAGTGATTTTTATTTTAACGAGTTCATTGATGGCGAGATGTTCGGTGTGTCTGTCATAAGTAGTTTGTAGACAGGTTAATATCACACGAGCGCTGTAGCTGCCTGGAGTGACCTGTAGCAAATATTTCTCCAGCTGACTCCTGTAGCGGTGACTTTGGCTATATAGTACTATATAGCTGTATGTAGCTTGAAGGGTGCCTATATAGTGCTACTGCGACTACAGTAGCTTGAAGGGTGCCTATATAGTGCTACAGCGGCTATATAGCTCTATATAGCTGTCACCAGGGCTATGGCATTTTGAGTGTTTTCCTGATGGAGAAACATGCCAAGAACGAGATAACTGGAGCACACCGTATCCGAGTCAGGGTCATTTCTAGAAACAACAGAATGAGAAATCACAGATCAACAACTTGTGAGTATGTACCAGACGACAGGAATACAGTGCAGAACTACACATCTATATGGATGAAACCCGTCCTCTGCTCGAGCGGCACTTTTGTCTTCACAGCGTGAGCCCAGGCTACCTTCGTGCAGTCCATGGCACTACCATTCTTCGAATCCTTGAACATGTTCTCGTAAAGGGCCTTGACGATGAGTTTTGCGACTGCGTCATTGACTACCCAGAAAGTGCCTGAACCACCAGAACGGTAGACCTGCTGCGAGATCAATGCCCTCGTTAGGGGTCCGCTTGTTGCCGTGACACCTGAGCGCTTCGTCCACGCAGCCATGAAACTGTGGGAACGAACAACTGCCCAATTTCCTCAACTCCCAACCGACACCCACTGATTTCTGGTCATTGCGCGCTGGGGTCGTCTGAAAGGTGCTTCCCGTGAGTGATACCCCAAGTTCTTCTGCCGGTTGAAGCTGACGACTCGCTTACCAGAGACTTCAGATACCCACGAAGATTTGTTGCATCTTATTGAATTTAGCAGGACCTGAACTCGTCGTCCAAAGCTGTTTTGTGGGGGAGGATTGGATATTAAATTTTGTAAGTAGACTATCTCGTGAGTAATGGCCTGTGTGGTTCTGATGAGCATTAAATTGGAAGGAGATAAGCCCCTGGATTCACCAACAATCATTGCCATTGTCAGATAACCTGATCTGAGTCCAAGATCCCTGTAGACTTCTCTCGCGTACACGATCTACCTTATTTGATCACCCAAGCGCCGACCATGTCATCATCCACCAGTACGACGGCAGTGGTCACGCCACGCCACACGATGCAAGGTCATGCAAGACAGGTCAACAGTGCTGTGCACTTACCTGATGGACGACACATCATCACATGTTCGTCGGACGGCTCACTCCGACTATGGGACCTAGAGAGTGGCGCGCAGATAGGTGAGGACTGGCGAGACGAGGATAACATAGTATTTCGATCCATGTCATTGTCTCCAAACGGCAAAACGATTGCAAGCGGAGACTATGATGGGAAAGTGAGGTTGTGGGATGTCGAGATGAGGAAGGTCATTGCCAGATGGACAGGGCACACCCATACTGTGCAATCATTGTGCTGGAGTGCAGATGATAAACGAATGGCAAGTGGATCCTGGGATGGGACGGCAAGAATCTGGGAGGTCAAGAGGGGCAAAACTGTTCTGAAAATCGAAACCAGTCACGCCCGGGTGAATACGGTGATGTACTCGCCTGACTCATCAAAACTCGCCACAGGGGGATATGAGGAGAACACTGTAAAAATCTGGGATACGAAAACAGGAAAGCATCTCAAAACACTCAAACACAGTTCGCAGCTTGGCATGGACGTCCTTGGATGGAAACAGATCTATGTGCTTTTTGTAGCTTGGTGTCTTTGTTTGTATTTGTACAAACTCATCCTACTTTCTAGGTTTCGATCTACGGACTCGGTATCCTCTTTCTAATGAAACTACAATGTGATGGGACTTCATTGGATGCGTTTGTTAGTTTGCTTGTTTGTTTGTTTTGGGCGAAAGCCCCGCAGGGGCTTTCCGGCCCGAAACATGGGTCCGTGCCTAAGGCGCCAGGTGAGCTGTGTTCCCATGTATTAGGAGAACTACGACGCACTCAGCGAAGCTTGGGGCCCTTTCCACTAGGAGAAGTGCTTCTTTTCACCGGACTGGGGGGATGGTATATCGTGTGAAAGGTTCCAGTACTGGTGATGCCTGAATGTAAGGTGCGAGAATCACAGCATGCTCTCTGAGATATAGTGTGAATGCTTCGCTAGACCACCTTCCCATCATTTTCACGACTTCGAAAGGTACTCCGCACAGAAGGTACTCTAATGTTCCCCCAATCCTAAGTCCGTGTCCTTTTAGTTCTGGTAGGTTCGCTGCCGCTGTTGCTGATGCTATTCTTTTCAATAGTTCTTTCTTCGATAAAGGACGCAGTCCTTTGGCGTGTTTCCACGCGAATAGGTGCGCATCACCATTTGCTGGATTGATTCTCAAGTGATTTTCCAATGCAGCGCTAGGGTCTGACGGCCCTTCCTGCATTGCCCAATATGTGTCCTCTCCTTCGTTTGGAGAACATTTAGTGCTCGGTAGGTGGAATTTCGTAACTGGCAGACCATTGTGGTGTAGAAACAACAATACTGAGTGGAACAAATGATGCTCCTGACAGTATCTATAAAAAGTTGTGAGGTCGCGCGTTGCCTAGTCTGCGTTACTTGAGGAGACAAGTGCGTTCGACCCTAGGGGAAGCGAGTGCTGCGAAGATCTAGAGGTACGCGCTTCAGCGAAGCACGAGAAAGCGCAGGTGCGCGCAAGGCGCGGGAACACGCGCGCGTATTAGCGCGAAGCGTGGGAAAGCGCGCGCGCGTATGCGGAAATGATAGATAGACTAGACTTAAGTGATAATATGATGCAAGAGATGTGAGAGCGCAAGATCTAAAGGAATAGGTTTCTACTATGTTCTCCTAAGTAGTAAGTAAGTAGTAATAAGTAAATGGGAGGTAAAGTAAGGTAAAGTGTAGTATGTACTGCTGGCGCTTATATAGCGCGCCTAAGCGCGGTCATGCGGAGCCGAAGCACTACCGAGTAGGTATGTAAAAATATATATGAGTGAGAAACTATGATAAAAATAAAGGTGGAACTATGCTAATAAAGGAAATGGAAATATACGTACTAGGGAGCTTGGTGGACAGTGGATGGATGCATCTGAATGGCTGGCGCTATAGGGTGCGCAAGCGCGGGAACGCGCGCGTGCGCATACATCATGAAGCGCGGGAATGGTGCGCGCATGGCGCGCGTTGCGCGGGAAAGCTGCGCCTCATATAGAGATAGCTGCGGGTAGCGCACAGAGTGACACTACAAGTTCATGCTATGTACTTCCTAGTGTAAAGCTGTCATATCAAACCATGAGACACACGAGTCTCTACAGCGGTCTGCTGTTTTGGATATGCTGGATCTCGTTATATGTTTCTTCAGATCGAATTCCTTGATTGCATTTACCGTGAATTCCCCTAACCTTGCTATTGCATAAAAGGTCGTCGTCAAGCACGCGAAAATGGCCGCATCTAGCGGTGAATTGAGGTCTAGGTGCTCGCGAATGATGGATAAGTAAGCGGGTGTGAATGGTAGCCGTTTAGGACGCTTGGACGACTCAGGTGCTGCAGCCACAGCTCCATCTAGCACCGCTTTCAACTCATTGGGTGGGATCAACCAACTCCTTCCATGAAGTAAGTGCCAGGCTTTTAGACCTGCCGCGTAGTTACTTAATGACGATCCGGAGTAGGACCCTGCACAACTGCAGAGAAAATCTAGGAGGAGACTGCGAGCAACCAGACATCTGTGCTCTTCTGCGATTCTGTTTGTGTCGCAGAACACATGGAACACCAGCAAGCCCGCCCCATATGTTTCTTTCATCAATTGCGCCCATGACGACCTGATGACGTCAAGGATTCGTTCAAACTGCGCCTCCGAAATTTCGTGTCTAGGAGACTGCGAGGTTACTGCTATCTCTTGTCTCGTACTATCTCCCGCTGGTAACCACAGTCTTAGTCAATCTCGCGCAAGACAATGGGGGCGCAGGGTAGAAGGTTTGGGTGTCAAATTAAGTCTATAGTTCTGGGGAATGGGGGAGGGGGAAGTATCTGTTACATTTGGTAGCGGTGCTCCGAATCGTGAGTTCTTATGTTTCGTCATCGTTGAGCACGCTGCTGATGAAACTTTCTTCTTCAGAACAGCTTTCTCTTGCTCGCTCGGCAGCTTGCTGTCTGAGCAGCTCGCAGTTGATAACTTTAGCTGCTGGAGCGGAGTAATGGCCATCGCGCAGGAGGCGGAGCTCTGTGGCAGACAGTGGTTCTGTAGCATCGATGAGGAAGGTACCAAGCTCTGTTGGAAGGCTGATTGGGGGAAGAAGAAGGCTTGTTGGTCTGTATACTCCTCTGGATGGTTCATCTGCTAGGTTGGAAGCGCTTGGGACATACGTAGTGACGACGTTGTAAGGGTAGGGTAGAGTGTGAATAAACTCATTGATTCTACGAAAGACTTCGTTGACTTCTCGGTTTCTGTGTCTCCTCTTCCACCATCCTTCAACGACGCCCGTGTTGTCTCCATGGACGACGACGTGCCTGCCAATGCCAGGCAGAGAGGTGAGAGTGTATACGAGGAGTTTGAAAGCCACTGCCTCCGCCCATCCGATGTCTCGTTGACCATTGTGTGTTTTCCACCCTGGGATTAATCTCCAGGCCCTCCAGTAGTTACCTATTACGATGCCTATTCCAATTCCTGAGCTTGCATCCGAGAATGCGAGAGGATTTTCGAGTTTGATGGATGGGTAAATTGCTCGTTTTACACCGCCGGACTGAAGTAGCCTAGCCCACCATTCTAGATCCTTCGCTACCCTGCTTCCTGCTCGATGCGGAAGGAAGGGCTTAGCGCCGCAGTGGGAAAGCATCTCCTCGAGGCTTGTTAGGTATGCCCTGCCTTGTGGTACTGCTTGGCACGCGTGTAGTAACTTGCCATATAGCTCTCGTACGTCTTGTAGAATGTGCGCTGGTCTCTTTCTCCATTCGTCGATTGCTGCCAGATATTTGCTGACTTTTGCAGGACTCAGTGAGACTATCCTTCGTCCGATATCCCAAAGGAATCCTATATAAATTGTTGTCGACGAGAACGGTTGGTCTTTCAACAATTCCCATATAATGCCTAGGATACTTGACAACTCGTCAATATCTTGCAAGCTAAATGCAAAAAGCTTGTCGTGTTTTGATCTCGGTGAGCGAAATGAAAGGTCTTGTAGAGGCTTTGAACAGTCCTCACTCAATTCCTCCAGTTTTCCTGTTTCCTGACACGTGTCGCCGAACCACAGCCTTGCACCAGATTGTCTCATCCCTTCTTTCGTGAAGACTTGATTCCACTTCTTTCTCTTATCGTTGTATGGCTGTAAGTACTCTTTTCTGATTCTGAAAAAGATATGATCGTCTACCCATTTTTCTAATGGTCCAATGCCGTTGCTCCTAAAGATTTCGGCGCCCGCGTCTGCTATGTGTCCGTATACTCCTGCCGAAGGGGTGGCTCCAAACGCAGTGCATGTGTCGATGCAGAAGTGGGAGTCTGATACTCTTACTATTCCTGCCGGCCATTGCGAGGGGCGCAGTGGGATCGTCTGGTATGCTTCTGCCACGTCTCTTGTGGCTGCCTCTGAACCTGGTGGAAGACTTGCAATTATTAGATATATGTTCGAAAATTTGCCCCATGTTATCGGAAAGTCACTGGCATTAATGTAGGAGTTTATCGAGGGATTAGGATGTGAAACGTTTGGGGATGCCGGAAAGGAAAAGTTTTGTACGATCCTGAATTTGCCTGGCTTGCCCGGCTTAGGGATTATGGACAGCGGTGACGATTGAAACGGTCCTATGAGACTTTCCAATGATTCAGCTCGAAAGGGTCCAATGTACCTTCCTTTGTCCAATTCTTTTCAGATGATACTTTCAAACTCGTTCTGGTACTCGGTAATCAAACTTTTATTTGGTGGAACCTGCATAACGCTGACAGGAGGAAAATCTATCTCAAAACCTAACTGGAGACTGTTTAGTATCTTGGCGAAACGCCCAAGAAGTCCTGCTCTTCGAAGCTCCTGTTCCCATGCATCAGCCTTGTATGGCGTCAGTGGTATCTGCCTTCTGCGCTCTAGGGCATCTTTGGGCGCCATGCGTAGCGGCTCCGCAGCCTGAACAGGCGTGGCGCGCATCGTGTTTTGGCGTTGTGCATCCTTCCTCCCTCTGCCAAGCGGTACAGAGTTGCTTCCCGTCTTTAGCCCAAAGGCCTTTGCGGATGCACTCTGCGCAGGTCTCGAATTTCTTGTCCCATGTCTGCTTGGCTGTACACTCGATGGTGCGGTGCGGGTGTCTTCCCAGACAGACTGCGCAGCAAGGTAATGGGCCTGCATTGACAGTGGGACGGACTGTTCATACCTTCTTGTTGCTGGACAAATAGTCCTCTGCGGGAGTATATGGGCGCTTCTGCGAAGCTGCGAGGTACTGCGGTTGAGCTGTTACGAAAGCTGCTGCCGCTTGCTGAATAGCGATAGCCGTCTCCTTTTCTCTCTTCTCATTGAACAGCTCTTCTCTCACTTCGAAAATTAAATCTTGATTGAGGTCTTCAAGGCTCCATCCTTGCGCTGTTCCTATAGTCTGATGCCAGTGTCGTCGTTGCTGGGATTGATATAGTAGTAGCACTCGTTGTTTGAGTTGATCTGGTGAATGGCGCCAACGATGTGTCTGTAGAGCAGACCAAAATTGTATATGCATGTCCGTCCGATCATCAGGCCAGTCATACAATTTCATCATTGTGATCATGCGAGGGGCGGCTTCGTTGAATTCTTCCCAAGACAGATTCTCGTCTTTCACAACCGGAGCCACTTTCGGGTCCTTAACTGCCGCTGCTGGGATCCAAGAGTGTAGACCGTCTGCTGCTGGTAACATTACCATAGCTTCCAGTTCCGCTATTAAGTTGGACAGTTTCGCGTCTTCGAGACCATGGTTGGTGAAATAATGGAGCTCGCAGTAGTCTCCGGATTTCATCTTCCTTATAGCGTATTGTGCTGGGAGAACAGTGGGGTCGGAAGGTACTTTTCCGCGCACTATGGGTGCGTACTTAGTTTTATTCTTCTTCCGTTCCTCTAGATGTGCAGCCTCTTCTTCCTCCTTGCGTTGTTGCTGACGTTCTTCCTCTTCGTCCTCTTCTCTTTGCCTGGCCTCTATCATGCGTCGTTGTCTGAGTGCCCAACGGTCTTTCTCGGCATTGTTAGCTAAGGTCCATAATGCTGCTAAGGTCCGAGCTGCATTTTCATTCGAGAGGCCTTCTTCTACTAATTGTCGCCGCGAAGCTTCGTGTTCTTGTGATGTGAAGTCTGGCCTTACTGCCAAGTTAGGATCTTCCATTTAGTAGTACGGTACTTCGTGGGTCTTGTATGCAAAAGATGAAGCTAGAGTAGTGAGCTTCTGACGAAAAGTGTCTCAGCTGCGAGGTGGGCAGAACCAAGAGGTGCTGCGCCACCTCGCTTATTTCGCGCTTAGACTTAATTCTAGGCCTGCCTCGTGCCTCGGCCGGCCTAGCCCGCCACTTATCTCCGACTCATATGATCTGATTAGGATATACGACACCGCCACTTGGGAGCAAATCGCTATCCTTGAAGGTCACACGTGACACAAAGCATGTCACCGCCCTCTCCTTGTCTCGGAACAATCGCCTCCTTGCAAGTGCATCTTATGACAAAACAGCGTGTCTATGGAATCTTGACACCAACCTCCCAGTTGGACCACCCCTCCAGCATGAAAACGTTTTGTGGTCCGTAGCTCTTTTCTCTGATGCAAAGGTGCTAGTTACTTCCGAGGACACAACCGTGTACACTTGGGACGTTCACGCCATCCTCAAAGAAGCTGGCCTTGAGGACCTACTTTCCATTGGTTCCAATATTGTCACGGTAAGTGTCAACGTATCCATATCACCCGCTCTCTCTGACAATGTCTGTTGTTAGGCACCAGAGGAGAGACGGGAACAGGAACAGACGGCACCTCAAGATGACGATTCAGTAATACAGCATACACCTCGCTCTTCGCTCAGTGACAGGTCATTTTTGGAAGTACGTGCCGAGTGCGCAATCTTTCTCATTCATTATAACAGTAATATTCTAGATTGATGCTACGCGGTGTCCTGGCCAATTTGATGATATAGGTGAACTTCCGCCAATGTTTTTTCACGGCATGGAAGCCCCTCAGTCCTCCCCAATGGATGGTGCACACCCACATTCCTCTGCAAATGCATTCCTCGCTCGCCTTTTCTCACTCCTCCGCCGCTTTCGACCCGTCAATGATGAAACGAGTGAACTTCCGCAACCTTCACGACCTTTGGCGGTCCATCTACGCGCACTCCTCGCTCGCCTGTCCTTACTCATTCACCACTTTTCACCTGAAAATGATGCGCCAAATGACCTTCAGCGACCCTCCACGTCTTCTCGGTTAGATCCACATGTGCTTTTGGCTCGCCTTTCCTCACTTTTCCCTCGATCTCGACTCAATACTGATGAAGAAGCCGAACATCGTCCAACAATGCCTTCGAGTTCATCTCCAGATGGAAGGCTCATCAGCTGGCTGTCCTCACTCTTCCACTCTCAACCTCACCAACGAAGCCGAACATCATCCCACAGTGACTCCAAGTTCACCTCCAGATGGAAGGCTTGTCAACCGGCTTTTCTCACTCTTCCGCTCTTGACCCCACACCAACGAAGAAGCCGAACATCGTCCCACAATGACTTCGAGTTTACGTTCAGATGCGAGGCTCGTCAGCCGGCTGTCTTCACTCTTCCGCTCTCAACCCCACACCAATGAACAAATAGAACTTTCGCAATGCCCAAGTCGTCCTCGCGTTGTCGACGTGGCTGCAGTGCGGGACAAGCAGGTATGGCTCTTCTTGGTGCATTTACAATCGCTGTGGTTTAATGATCTCTGTTCAGACTTTGGTTGTTGCTCGGGGGCCAAATCTTAAGAAAGCAAAACGAGTATATGAGCAACGAACCGAATCGCACGCCTTGAAGCTCAGGCGTCGTCATCGGGCACTCAGCCTGCCCATGCTTCAACATTAGCCACATCTCCTATTCCAGGTACTAATTCTACCACAACAGGTGCAGCAACCCCACAGTCACCACCCATCCCATGGTGGAGTCAGCTCGTGTTATTTCTCTGCTGTACATCTCCACCACATGCCAATAGTCATTGATACAATTAGCATTGTAGCATTCGGACAACCACTTCACCTTTGCTTCTAGTGATTCCGCACCTATGTCTCTTTTATGAATACACCATCAATCTGGTTTCCTCGTCATGAGCCTCGTGAAATGCACTGGACAGGATAATACTGATTTTATCATCGGGAAGGACGGTGTACTTCTGGTCGGTGAAAATAAGGACGTCTGACCACAGTGCCCAAATGTGATGCACCGAAAACCTTGCGGTCTCAACAATTCTCGATGGGTATCGTACATCCTGCCTCGCTGAGCCAGGCCAAAAGAGCAGACTGGGTGGGTTATTGGTAGTAGTAAGTATTAAGGTGATCATGACGAAAACTTGTTTATTGTCTACTTTCGTTAACGTTCGTTCTCGCGCGTACAGGCATCGATTTACGGAAATACACACTGTACAATATGATATATGATACACCGACGAAATGGCAGTCCACAACCTAAACGAAATCAACAGTCGTTCATATCCTCGACATTGGGAGCAGGTATCAATTTCTCCTTCTCACATGAATATTCTTTGCAACAATGCCCTTGAAGGCTATTTGAAAGTCGGATTGCATATCTTTCATGTTGCCGGGAACCTTCTGCATGAATTCATCGACCTCTGAAACTCTAGATTTGAGTGCGTCAATGTCACGGTCACGATGAGCGGGCGAGGAAGGTTCCAGTTGTCTGCGTAATCTCAATCCCTGCCTGAGAAGCGCTCTATAAACAGGACAGTGTTAATTATTATATGTCACGGAGTAAGGGAGGACGGACGCTAGCTCGCTTCTCTGCTTGCCCAACTCCTCAAGTTTTTCATAAGGTTCCTTGTTCCAAAGGCTTTTTGTCTTCGCCACGGCCGCGCAAGTCAGAGTAATGCCTCGTTCCAAGCACACCAGGAGGTGAGGCAATGGTCCAAGGAAAAGGAAGGTGTAATAACCCGAACGCCATTCAGAGGACTGCGTCTCCTTCAGGCACGTCATGAACATCGCATCAATTTCGGCGTTAACTGCATGACTCGAGCGGCGTCTGATGTAACGACGGTATGCTTTCTGAATTCTGCAAGCCGCCTCTTCCTCCTCCACCAATGGTCCGTTGGTGCGTAGCAACTCGCTAAGATCATGTGCAAGCAACATCACCGCATCACGGGCCTCGGTATCAGCGTTCGCCGTGACATCTTCCTCCATTTCTTCTTCTTCTTCGAACTCTTGAGGTTGCAATTCCACTTTTTCTTTTTCATCGTGTTGGATAACCTCTGGTGGGTCCTTTGAATGTTCTAAGCGAGGTACAAAGGCAGGGGCCACTACTTTCAGAGTAGACTGTGCAGTCACTGCGTATGATGAAAGGAGATAGGGGATCTCGATGATCTTCTCGTATACGAGTCGTCGGACTATATAGACTCGGGTACACTGGTTCATGGTTTTGTAGACAAGATGCACCAGGTTGCTCACTCCTTTGTTGTCGTCCAAAGCCAGGAGAGCTCGCAAGTAAACGTCTGAGGGTGGCGCCTGTCCTGGCAAGGGTGTCATGTACCTGACCACGACATCCACGAGTTTCCGATAGTTAGCTAGACGCCAGTTTGAAGGAGGGTTGTTGTCGTGCAGAGAAAGAATGATATTGTCTACTTTGTTTCTCAAGAAGCGATTCCTGATGTTATGAGCAACTAATGAACACAATTCAGCAGCGAATAGGTATTGAAAAGAAATAGTAAACGTACTAAGGCAGAGGACCCTGCAGCTGTAATACATGTGATCAGCATGCACATCGCCGATGAACAGATACTAAAATGGACTTACATCCGGGAAATGAAAACATTGCGGAGAATAGGCGTAAATTTCGCGTAGTTCAGCCAGAGGAAATCTGCCTAATTGTAATCTCGGATCTCTGAGAAGTTAAGAGACTCACCCATGCCGGCTTCTACGCGCAATGCTTCGACCAGCCTCGCTATCTCATCTAGAAGCTTGGCCATCAAAGACAGGTTGGTTTTTTTCTCCGTAGTGAAGTTATGGGGAAACAGCAGCCATTTACATGGAAGGACGACGTTATGAAGAGGAAACTCATTCAAGTCTGGGTCCATTCGGTACTTGATTACAAAAGCGCTGCAGACGTCCTCGATACAGTCGCACAACATGGAGAGGTTGACACATACACGATTGTCGAGAACGTGCCTGAATTGCACTCAGTTCATTGCACGCAGAGACAAGAAGAACGCTTACAGAATATACAGAATCCCCGATGAGATGCTGCTGCGGGTCGCTCCTTGGTAAGAATTGAGCAGGTCATGAACCATATAACGATTGTCCCCCTTGCGAAAGAGTTCCAATGGTCCGGAGATCGTACAATTTGCTCGAGAGATGTAGACAGGTGCGTCGTCCCTGTCAAAAGCAAAACTAAGACTGGTTATTCCCATCAATTCCGTCAAAAATTCAGCCTGGGTATGGGATGGGTCGAGCGAGTAGAAGGATTCGCGAATCCAGAGCTTCACCACTTTCATGCCATCCAGACGAAGAGGCATCAGGTTCATGTCGAGGTCCGCAGGGGAACCTTGAATGAAGAAGGGTGGATTGATGGCCTCATAAAGATGCTTGAGCCAGCGCCTCATGCTGATAGAGTGATCAGTATGAGTACTCGAATATAAGCTACCTCCAGGCGTACCTTTTGCGTCGCTCAATGTATGGGTGGGCGGAATACATGAATTGCAAGATCAGGATCTGCCAGATGTGGATGGCAACACGCTTGTTGTAATACTGGCGATCCAATTTCGATACTGCAACATGCTCCTGGGGACAGATATATCGTCGACATACTCCAGATATCAAGAATTCCAGGCATTGAGAGAAAACGGGAGATTTGCAGCACATAGCATCGATCTGCGATATTTTGTCTTTCAAGATCGTTCGAATGGATTGTTGTAGCAGCTGGGTGACGACTCTACGAGAAGCTGTATACCCGGACGGATGTTCCGATACCCAAGTGATGCCCTGGCACATTTCCATTACATTGTTGTGAAGGAACGTTCCATCTGGTATGAGAAACTCGTCACCGGACAACCGCACGATGGAGAATAGTCTCTGAATAGCCCTATGCTCCATGAGGTCAGGGAAGGTCAAAATAAGATAGAGCAGTCGCGTATAGGCGTGAAATTGTTGAAGGAACCGTTGCATTTCATTGACCGTGAAAGCTCGAATATCTGTGGTTCGAGAGAATATATGGTCCAGACAAAGGAGAGCTGCTGGCTTGTTATCTTGTATATAGAAGTTAAGCGCAAGATTTCTCAACGGCTCATGATTTCCGCGCAAGATGTTTTGAAACATCGATATCTGGATGTCGATCAGTCCAGTGGTCACTTTGAGACTGCTAATACGTACTAAATCACGCGTGGCCAGCGTTAGTTTGTTCGTCTCCAGCTCATCAGCGATAGCGATAAAATGCCGCATTGGCTCATCAACAATGGATTTTGCCGTGATTCTAAAGGAGCATTTGCGCCAGAAGTATTCCAATATAGTATCGGCCGCACGAATAGTAGAATCGTTACTTTCGTCCTTGATGAATGCCCTGACAGCTTGCAAGGGTCTATTCTCTGATAAGTGGAGCTCTGCGGCCTCGTAGTACCTTGAGTGAGATTCAAGTAGTGATGCACGAGCGTAATCAAGATCATAGTCCTCCAGAAATTCGAGTTGTTCATCAAACGTGGAGAAGAGGGGCAAGGGAGTCCTGCGCAATTACCATTAAATAAAAATATCGTGGAGGGTCGAAGACTTACTGAGCGTTGTTCCTGCTGCAGTAAAACAGTCTGCACACAGTCCATAACTCCGCCTTGGTCTCTTCAGGTATATCCGTGCCATGGTAATTAAGGACATGGAGGGTCTTGTCAAACTGTCCAGCCTTGCGATATATTTTCGCTGCTTGCTCGAACTCTCGAGTATTGAAATAGGCCTCGGCAGCTTTAAGATCTTCTCCTGCTCGAATGTAGCAATCCGCCGAGTTACGATAGTACTGAAGCTTCTGATTTCCTGTCGCGGTCGCCCCACAATCAGTAAAGGCGTCGGCAGCCACGTTAAAAGCTCTTTTTTGGTCGCTGAGTAAGGCCACGCCGACACTAGAACGTGCGACTTCTCGGATTTGATATGCTTCGCAGACCTTCACTTCACGACGAAGGTTGGCACGTTCGAAGCAGTGGATAGCCTGCGAGTAGCGCTTGTGCGAGAATAGTGAGCGCCCGAAGGATGCCCATTCTTCTGGAGTCGAGGAGACGGCTAGAGGAGGGACATCGGTGCCGGGGACACAATTATAGATCTGGTTGCGAGACGTCCAGAATATCTGAAGAAAAATAGTTATCAGATCGAGTTACGCCAACACGCTGCTCTCAACGTACACGCATCGGCTCTGATCTATCAGATTTGTCAACGATCCATATGTTCTTCCTTGCCCGAGTGATCTCCACATAAAGAAGTGTGAGCTGATAAAAGTAAGCCGGTGTTTGTTTCGAGGATCGGTGTGCCTACCTCGCTACAAACCCCGGCGTATCGCGCCTCGTCTCGTTCAAAATTTGGTGCATATCTTTGACCGTCTACCCCATTGAGAACTATGCGCCATCGCGACAGATCTACAGCAGAATCCTCGAAAAAGTTGTACAGCAGCACCTGACCAAGGTCAGACATCCATCAGATAGCAAACTTAGCTTTCTCACATCATTGAATTCCAGGCCTTTGCTTTCATAAAGCGTCCTGCATACATATGTCAACATGAAAACGCAGAGCAAAGGTGGTCTCAATACGACTTACATAATTAGTCCAATTTGACCAACTTGGTCTCGTAACTTCTGACGTGCCGCATCGTCACGCACGAGAATGCCTAGATACCTTGTCAGTATATGAATGAAATCTCCAACCAATTACTTTACATTGCTGGGCTCCGAACTCAACGTGACTACCGCTAGAAGAATCCTGAGTAGGAAAGGAGGGATATCGTCCAGGCCTACTTACCTCGCCCCAAAGAAGAACTGTTCATAACGAAGGGCATCTTCGTCCCAACCAGTAAAAAATACAGGCTTGAGCCCACCAACCACCTCTTTTTCTTGCCGAAAACCGTCGATTGTGTTGGGCCAAAATTTTGTGATGAGTTCGATCACAGAATTCGCGCAGTTGACAATGCCACCATGTGATCTGTAGTTGATCGTCAATTGAAACATCATAGGCTGATGAAGATATGCTCCAGTGGAATTGATCGAGGTGTTTCGCTGCTGCTCTAAGATATCAATTCAGGCCCGATCTAAATCACTGTCTGCTAACCTCCATGCGGTAGAGAAACGCTTTCAGATAATTGAACCTAAAGGAACTTCCTGCAGAGATTGTCTGCGCGGTGTCACCAGCCCAGAACAAACCATCTGGATTCCCGCATAATTGCCTCAAAACTACAACGGGAAGCTCAAGTGATTTCTGTCAATGAGGGATGGTGTAACTACTTACAGAGTGCATCGATCAGAAGGATGTCTTGTACGTCGTCGACATACCTAGTGTAGGTGGTCAGGTGCAAGATGCATTGGTGGGGATAACACGTACATATAATCAATATGTTGGCCAGGGAACCTCTGGGTCCGCAAGACCTTGAGTATCGCATATGCACTGTTTGGGCATATATCGTGACATTACGTGGGTAAGAAAAAGGAATTGGTCGTACCGGTCTGCAACATCATGATGACATCGCTGCCTCTTGATTTTCGTATAATACTCGAAGATATCATACAGAAGTTCCCTCTGATTCGCAAAATTTGGGTAAGAACGATGAGGAAGACGGATGTAGTTTGGGCGATCGAGAACTCCTTGACAATTCAGTGCGTCTTCGGAGCCTTTGACAATCCCTGTATGTATATTCAAGAATTGTCAGTGTCAATGTAATACAAATAGTACTTACCCATGAATTCGCTGAAAACCAACCACGGATCTGATGGGGTAGTGTCAGTACTTCATTGTCATCACAAGAGAACACGATGCTACTAAGATTCTTAGTGAGATTCTGTGGAAAATGAGGCCAGTATTGATGTGCGAATACGTCATAGGTGACGAAACGGTCTTGCGCCTCGGCATCGTCCACATTGAAGACAAGTCCTGCGCTATCTTTCTTGTCCAAGATATCTGTTGCGATCATTTTTGCCAGCTACATACACGATTAGCTTTGGAGCTGTCCGGAGGACGGATTGGGACATACTCGATCGAAAGTTACAAAAAGCGGAAAGTGCTTGTCCTCAAGTTCGCTGTATTTCATGGGTATACTCATATGTGATTCGGGCAGGTCGTCGAGATCAACAAGGCCCTCCTGAACACTTCGTGCCTTCATTTTTGCAAGTTCCTCCAGGGTATAGCCTGCTAACGCCAGAGATTCGACAAGCTTCGCGAAATACACTTCCGCTCTCGTAGCGAGCACTCTGGATTTGGTGACGAAGATTTGGCGTGGCTTCGGCATGGCGACGGCGCTCATTTCCCAAGCTCGCTGAATGCCGAGAATCTTGAACAACATCGTCGTGGTTTTTCTAGTTGAGTGTGATAAATAAGCTACTCATATCAGGGGCAGGACGCTTACCCTGTACCGCTGCGACCCAAGACGTAACTTGACGTGGTGCACTCGACAATATTTTGTTCTTGTGGTCTAAACCAGCATCGATCAATAAATGTGTCTCATTGGGGGTATAACTCACGTGAGCTTAAAGACGTGCTCTACGTCTCGGTTTGCGATGAGACCTTATGCAAAGGTGAGAATAAGTGGCGAGTCAACTACATGATCGCTCACCATGCAGGAGCGCCTAAAACAAAAGGTTATTAAGTCAATATTCGCGTGCATATAATCTGTATTTATAAGCTTACTTGCGAGAATGTGACATATTTCTCCAAACTAGACAATCGTTAGATGGAAACCAATTTGTATAAGGATGGCAGAAATTCATACACAAGCAAAGGGTGAAGCTATGTCATGGGTCAATGACCGCACAAACGACATCTGAAAATACTCAACCATGTCTTTATCACTAAGATCAAGTGGGCTTCCTGAGCATTCTGGCTCATGTTCAGCTGGTGGGAATGACGCAGGCATAATCGCGCTGTCTTTAGACAGGACTGGTAAGGTGCACCTGCACAAGCAAGGATTCAACGAATTGCATCAAGAGCCGAAAAAGGTTCTCACCTTCTACGATATTCTCTGCCCTTGCGTGCGAGATGGCTACCCAAGGCATCCCATATTCTGCCAAACTGTGCATGCATATAAATGCCATATACCTGGATTACTGTAGTTCATATGAGTGTTAATGGCGGAAAAGATGTAATGGCTCTTGATAATTTACCTTGTCTTTCGGACTGTCAAGACTCCAATCTCAGTATCATGCTCGATGTCAATGTAGGAACGGCTTACCTTTCCATCCTGGTCAGGGATACAATCAATCTGATACTGAGAGAAAAGGTCGGTCATTTCCTGCTCTAAGCGACGTATGTGAAATTACGCTTACTACTAATCGTAAGTCCTTTGTCACCTTGGCGTCGTAGATGGGTATGCCTGCATCCGGCCCGTTAATTCGCTTGTGATTATCATCTGAGAAATGGCCATTCGATAGTTCTCTGTGGCAACGATGAGATCCTTGCAACGAAATTCATCAGAAGACAGACTTGATCTTCTTGAAGACGATCTTGAATGTCTTCTGATCTGCTCTACGGAATTCACGCAATTTTTTGTACGCCTCCGTGGATACGAGGATCCGCCACTCTCCGAACCCGTCCGCGTTGTCGAAGTAAAGCGCAGCCTTCATAGACTGCACCATTTCGCACGCACTAGGTCGGTTTGTTGGGCTCTCGACATCCTCGGTTGACGAAACTTCAGGCGCAACATCTTTAGCAGACTTCCCAACATTTTGGAGGAGTAAGGCTTTGATATCGCCTGCCAATTCCGTCCTCCGCAGAAGCGAGAGGTAGAACTTACGGAGAGCTGTCAGGGGAAACGTCAAAAGTAGCGAATATACTCACCGAGAGAGCATTTTTCAGCTCTGCAAGAATCTGAGTAGACAATGATGCGGCAGCCTCGCTCGTGAGAGGGACAACCACACCAAGCCTCACGAAGAGCGATGTGTCGATGGCCGTATGACCTTTCAGACGATTGCGCTTGTACATTTTCCGAGGCACCTTCTTCTTGACGAATCCATTATCAGACTCTGCACCAGCAATCCCCATAGTGTTCAGCGCGTAAAGTACAGGTAAAGCGCCCTCGATGAAGCCACTGTGACGATCGATGTCCTTTGAGACATCCACCGTCAGAGATTCAGCTGGAAAAGCTAAAAAGTACATGGACAGAGTGTCTAGCATTCTTCTCGCAATGGATGCCGGATATTCTTGAGATTTCGTTGGAAAGTTTGTCATGATCTGTGAGATTATTGCCTCGCGGCGATCCCAAACTGTTGCAGAGTCAGATCTAGTCAGAGAGTTGATGACGCTCGAAGAAAGTTTATGAGATACCAGAAATAATATATGCAAAGATATGAGGTGATGACAACATATGTTCAACCGTGGCTTGTAATGCGGTTGCTCCTGACGATGAAATTGCGTCCAGATGATACAAGGCGGCTCTGAGGCCTGCCTCGTTGACTATTCGATCTTTGGAGAGTAAGTCCAACATGGTCTGTTGAACAAGAGGCCGCGAGCTTGTGACGATGAAGTGGTTATATGAAAGGTTGGGGGACTTGGACTTGAGCTATGTCAATGATGGTTCAAAGAGCTTGAAGGAAGTCCGAGTGCGAGTCTGCAACGGGGTTGTCCTTATATCGCCGAGCCGGCGCTCTGTCTGAATTTCCAAACAGGTTGAGGCGCAAATGGTACGTCCAAAATCGACACCTGCAGGTAACCTGAAGTCATACATGGCGATAAACTTGGACCCTCAAATGAACCCAGATTGTGACAAGAAGTATACGACCCTAAGTTACGGAATAAATCGGCTCTCTATTTTTATGTAACAGGCCACCTTACACTCGTCTGGTCTAGACTGACCTTTCTTGGAAATAAGGCTACGGTTCGAGTACTCTTGCCAGTCGACACGACGACATTCCTGATATTCGATTCCTTATCGGGATGTTTTCCTACGCCATATGCATAGGGTATTGGGCATTGTGTAATTTGTACCAAGTTCAGCTGATCACGGTGATGGTCCAGCACGGGCTTGCGAAGTTCATGAACCTACAGCAGCCAATCCGCGAGTGTGGAAGGTTGTTATCAGTATGATGCACTTCAGGTAAGTTCAGGCTATCTGTGTGTCTCCCAGACATGTCCTGACCTCATGTTTACTAGTACAATTAACTATCATGTAAATCTTGACAGAACACATTGCAGAATATTGTCATTATTGTCATAACCCGTTCCTTCCCATGGTCGTCTAGAGGTAAATCGATACACACACCATGATAGGGTAGACTGACAGAATGTTCATTAACTGGTAATTATTGAGGCCCACTCCCAGGATACGATTCAGATCTACGAAGATGAAGACTCGGGTGCAGCACCGCTGCAGTTGGAGATTTTGAGCATACCCAAAGTGAACGATCACAGTGGGGGCAGATGCCATCAAGATCGAGTGGAGCTCCATGCAGCAACCTCCGCTTTGGTCGCAACGACTCAGACTATAAGGTATGTAGATCTCATTTGCATGAACGAAGTTACTCTCTTTCAAATTTTCAATGTACCATACACGCAGATACTGTTTTCGCATTCTAAGACGGACGATAATCCACACATTGATGTATCTATGCGGAAGCCAGGATGGGCCAATCATAATTGTATCATTTCAATATTTCACATCTTCACGGTGCAGCCTCGTATCATGACAAATATTCTTTTGTCCTTATCATCCTCATGCACAGCCGTACCAAATGCCTTCAACCACTCGTTATGATGCTTAAAAGAACGGACGAACACTAACCAATGGGCTAATGCTTTTCACGCCTCAACGACTCTCCGCATCCATGACACTCATCTCTTACCATCAAGTGGTATCATCAACTCCGCTGAATATATATACTCAATAGGTATAACTGTCGATTGCAGCAAGTCGAAAACGAATGTCAAGTCTGCGGAAGTACGGATTATCAAGCATTCGCCAAGTCAGTGAAGCAGGAAAGAGGTTGCGACGGATGTTTTCTTCACCCATGTAAGTACTCGACCCCAACACATGTTCTCACCTGAGTTACTTTGCCTTAGAGAGCTTTGCATATGTGGTACAACAAACGTTCTGGAACTAAGCACGAAGATATTACAATCCAGATGACGTGATCCGCGTGTATGATTCAAGATAAGGTGAAACAAGAATCAATGCATTGCTTCCTCGCCTTGATCGCTCGTGGGTTCCAACAAGGTTCATAACAACATCAGCATCGTGGTCGAACTTTTCAAGACTACAACGACCGAAGTAAGGATCCATGCCTGGCATCAAGCCCGTCTAAATTCTAGCAGGCTGAGCAGTCTATATCTTCCGATCAAAACTTCAAGCCTACCACTTCCAAAATATTTCAGAAATGTCTTTGGTGGGTCATAAAGTGCCGTTCTCGAGGCTGATACTCCCAAGGTCCTGAATTCTAGTGATAGGAAAGGTATCTAGCTTTTTCCGATGTAAGGCCAGTGTTGACAACGCGTTTTTAATAGTCTGGCCTCGGCAAGTCATCATTGATCAGTCACACATTTGGAGTGGGAAAAGAGGTGGGCCACGCTTCAACGAGTTCAGCTACTCATGCTGTCAATAGATCTTTGCGCACAATAAGCTAGCAGGCGAGGCCAACATCGACAAGGAGCTCATCTCACCTCGGAACGAAAGGTTTGTTCTCCACGATAGCAAAGTACCTGCCTGCAACGCAATATAGTCCAGCGTTCAACTTTGTACGTTCTCCTTGCCCTGCATCTGTCACTACTGCTAACTTCCTACTGCCGTACTCTAGTGTTGTCTCCAGTTCTTGAAACCAGTTCTATCTACGACTAACAACATTTGTCTTGAACATTCGCTCTTCTTGACACGCTTTCATCTCTTCACTATCGCTTGGTGTATCTTGTATATGATTTTTAGACTATCTTTATTTATAGCGCGCTAGACGTAGCAATGGTATCGCACCATATGGCACGGATGTATCCTTCTATGTAGTTGTTGAATTTTATCAAGCACATATTGTGTTGTGCAATCACATGGCCGTTACAGACGCGGACATCAAATGGTATACAGAAGGAAGGAGGAGACCATCGAGCACAGTGAACGGTGGTGCTCGGGTGATGCACGCAATCAAGTTGGAAATCGTACTAATGACAGTGAACCAGTGAGTTGTTGGCGGTTATGCAGAAGTACTAGGACAGAAATTATAACTACAGTCAACAGCGCCGACAACAATAATGAATGAACGAAAGAACTCGAGGATATGTAACAACATCCCCGGACGTGAAGGTATTCCAAACCCAAATATTCTAGGAGGCTCCCGTGACACACGACGCAGTAGCCGTTCTCAAAGATCTAAGATGCCTGTTGACTTGAGACCAACAACCATTTAGGTTGTGAACTCCGCTGACATAAGGGAGCCAGGCGGAAATGATGTTGGCGATAGTTTCAGCATCTGTTAGAGACTCGGATAAGTCCAAATCCAATGATTCTAGGGAGGTATGCTGTATTGGCTCGGCATCAGGATCGATGTCGATAGTTGCAATCTTGATTGGAACTTGTAGTGTATCCAATTGTGGACATAGACCGATCGCTGTGAGTAATCCACGGAGGGAGACTTCGGAAGAAAGATCAGATTCTTCGATTTCCAGAGTGCGGATGTGCGGCCAAGTAGACATAGCTTGCAAGAGCATGTCTTTGTCCAGGTAGATGCAGAAACCATAAAACATGAGCTTCAGGGTTCGGAGCCGTGTAAAGCAAAGGAAATGCGGAATTGGTGTCAAAGACTCGTCGTATTGGCTTCCCGCGAATTTGCGTTCAAGAGAACAGATGGTGATTTCTTCTAGAGTCCGACACGCTTTGCAGTGGGACAGAGCATGAAAGAGTTGCTCGGCTTCTTCTGAGGACAGACGGTTGGCTTCAAACTCGAACTCTTTCAGCGAGGGAAATTGGGAGTGTTGCATGACTGTGATGATGTCTCCGGCATCGTAGAGCTCTTGAAAGGAAAGTCGTGTGATGTTAAGGAATGATAAATTCACGATATCTTGTTTTGGCAGCGAAGGATGGTCATTATACCCTTGATCAATCTCCAATTTGCGAAGGGTAGGGAGGTGGGAGAGGTGTTTCCATGCTGCCAAGTCGAGCATTGGACAAGAAAGAGTTACAAGCCGCGTGCACCACCGAATACTATCGGATAGGAGGGACAGTTCATCTGCTGCCGGTGTGCTGCCATCACCATCGCTTAAAGGAGTGTAGATGCGTAAATGCTCCAGAGCAATGTAACGTGTCACAAAAGATTGCAGACTCTCGTCGACGCCCAATAGCTGACATCGATGCAGCATGCGAGACAGAAAAAAGTTCAAATATGTGGTGGAAAGACTTAATGACTTCAGCCTCGGAAATATGCATGCCTCAGCGGGGATGACAGAGAGAAGGTGCGGATGTTGACATTGTATTTCTAATGTGCGTATACGGGAGGAGTGACGCATAAATTGACGGGCCTCATGGGCAGATAATGGCTCGATGCCTTTCGCCCTGCGCTCGACCCGCTATTATGTAGACGCTCGGTGAGCCGAAAAGAAACAAACAAAGCGTGATAGAGTTGTGCACTGACCCTTTTACCCCTACGATATATCAGTGGATGTAGCCTTGTTACACAGCCTAGCAATGGTTCTAACCCATGGATTTCGGTCCACAGCAAATCCATCGCAGGCTCATGGAAGATTTTGCATGTCCTTGCAAGCGCTGCAAGCGATTGCTGAGTCGATGTTGTTTCAGTAAATGGTATTGTGTTCACACAAGCGAATATCTCCAGGAGGACTTCGGGAACAAGTAAAGCCTGATGCATCACTAGAGTACGGTAGGGTCAAGGCTCAAAACTAGGTTTGATGTAAATCCAAAAACATATTGCCTACGCCAACCTGCAAATTTGAATCACGTGATGCTTCTGTTGATCATGAATCATGACGAACGTTTATTTGCCACCTGTGACTCCCGCATAAGGACAGTAATAATAGGCGATAACACATAGGGTTCGCACCTGTAAGACGAGGCAAAATCAGCGTGTCAGAGCCTCCTTCTATATTGTTTGAATAAAGAGGAACTTTATACTGCTAGGACGTAGGTAGCACTGTACTACCACCGGCATGTCGGCAATGCTGTGACGTGTTCCCGGCACCGGCTAATAATATCCGAATGTTCGTGCTCGCTGTGTCGTACGATGAGCTCACGTATCTCATGATGATGTGAACGTATTGGAGGCGCGTTTCGACGCATGGCATTCAAGTAAGTATCACGATACGTGTATCAGTACAATAGCATATGTAAACTAGACTCGGACTATACTAACTCTCATCGTCAGTATTGCCATGAAGTTCAAGCTGCGAGAAATCATCAGCAATGCGTAGGACATCTTGAAGACTCCTTGATACTTCCTCTGCTACTTCCTCTTCCTCTTCCTCGCCATCCAAATCATCTTGGGTGTCTGAATCTACGGATGCACCATTATCTAACGGCATGTGTTCTGTAAGTAGCGCTGATGGGATCTACGTGTTTGGTGTGCTGGCGCTGTCCCCGAGACTGGTGTTAATGCTGGCACCTGGTGTTATTATCCCACTGAAACCACTGAGCCTAGATATATCGTAGAGCCAGTTCAAATGCCGTGAGTTGAATCGTCCTCGAATATTTCGATGTAACGCAACCTGATGGGCAAGAGCCGGGTTTGCATCCTTCAATTGATCTTCGCACCTCCGCAGATAAATGTCCTCATCTTGTATATATGTCGCTAGGCGTCGTGTCTCGATATTCAAGCGTTGTATCTCCTCACGTGCCCGACACATTTTGAAGTATAGGTCCATCGCGCTACGAGCACCGGGTGATGACCAAGGATGTCGAGACACATCTGCACGCGTGTCATGTAGCAGATCGAAGTCTGCGAGAAATGCGTACTCCACAACATCTTCCCACTTGAGAGTCTGGCGTGGGGGGTACATCGAGCTGGCAATGGAGTTGTACGTGTTTAGAGCAGATCGGATAGCGACAGAACGAGTCTGTAGTGCTTTAGCTATATGCTTCCTTAGTTTATAGCCTTATGTAGTATTAGAATTAGCATCGCAAACAAGATATCCCGAAAAACTCACCTGTGCCTGCCCGATTCATCTTCGTCAGCTCAAATATGCGTGCCACAATTAATCCTTCGAGGCGATCCAGTGCATGCTGGTATTTCTGGTTTGCAACGAGTCTTCCAACTTTCTGCCATTGCGGATCTTCGGGAGTCCAGCGTTTCTCGACCTCAAGCTTGCACTCGAGTGCTTGAACGACTTTAATGTGCCTCTCATAATCCTCCAGGGCGTGCCATCGTGCAGTTTCGGCTTTCTGGGTGTTTTTTGCCTGCACATCATACGAGGCAGCCTCCAGGTGAGATGAGCCCTGGAAAGCTGACATTGCAGCGTCCAGAGCCTCCCTATGCAAATGTTGTGTCAGCTGAGTGCAAGGCCCGTACCTCGGAAACTGAACTCACTTGCTCGCAGTAAGACTCGTCAACTTTTGCCAATATTCCATCTGCAACAGTTTCGTCCTCAGGTTCTCGCGTCAGACTTTGTAGATATACCTTCTCTTCCTCCAGCCATTGCTCGAAAACAGTCTCAGTCCGGGATTTTGAGATCTCGTATAAGCGTTGGAAGGGTCGCATTACCATCATTCAAGATAGCAAGTGCCTGCTTGTAGTTGCTGTATAAAAAATCGGCTACGAAAATTATGTCAGCACGTGATCACGTCTTACAATGAACAGCTTACAAAGATTGGCGTATACTTCGAAGTTGTTCGTTGTGCTCGAAATAGGCTGTCGATGGCCTGTTGTCGATGGAATACACTTGCATAACGTAGTGCGGACGCTAGGGAATTAGATTTAGAAAATGTCCGTTCGCACGTTTCCAGGTCCTCGAGTCCTAAACCTTTGATGTAAGTAGTAAGTGAGAAAAGCTGGCACAATCGCCTGTGCGCATGCCCATGGAAGGCACCAACGAGACAAGTGTGTTGCAGTGAGCGTGCGAGAGGTCCAATGGAACTGTTGTCAAGTGTCGTCTTGAACTGACAACCTATATCATATCCACCACCCAATTGTTTCCCGAACACGTCCATCAATTTTGACACGACAGCCAGAGGATACTTCGCACTATTGAGACAGTTATTAATTTAAAAAATAGCATACAACAGACATTACTTACAGCTCACCGCTCTGCACCATGTCTGCGATGACGAGAGAAAACCCATGGCGACAGACGGCCACAAATATACCAGTCTCGTCATAGATACCCCAAGCCTTCTTCGTCTTGGCGTCGTCCATGTTTTTCCATCGCCCGGCGCAGGAGTTATCTGTAGGCTCGTTTTCTACAATAATATTATCCACAGCAGTGGTGTCCGATATGTCCGAAGCGAACTGGTTGACAAATGTGCGGGGTAGGTAGCGGTCACTGGTGAGTTGCTGACCTGTAGGAAGTTCAGAGGATGGACCTAGAGACTCGCCATCATGATCTAAAGACCATCGGAGCACTCGTTTCAAGGAATCATTGCCATCCATCGCATATAGTAGCTTGAATGTTAGATCTTCTTCGTCCACTAACTCATACGTGCAAGCAGGGCACACATGTTTAAGACGCCAATCCGGCGAGTCACGGCGAAGTGATTTGGCCACCATTGCCGCCACGCAACGTCGTACCTGGAGGTACAGGTCAAATGCAATGGAGAATTGGCATGATAGGTGCCTATGAAATTCAGCCTAGATGAATTCAGTGCCAGGCATGTACATAGAATAAAGTAAAGAATGTACTTACCCCCCGTAAATCACACAGCGACTTGACAAAGGCCTGAATGGAAAGGTGAGGACTTCAAAGATGTACGATACGGTAAAACTCGAGGACTTCTGTCGTTATCCCCACCATCAGTGATGTAGGTGAACAAGGCAAAATGCCTTGACGAATGAGAGCTGAGGCGATGGTGCGGTCGGTAGTCAGTATTTGGAGTGTCACTTTCTCAGCGCCTGTAGAAGCGCCCGCACATGCCGTCACTAATTAGTATGTAATAACTTCCAATCAAACCAATCACTCACAAAACGCATCTACCACGCTCATTGTCCATTGTCCACAGGTGGTATCGTTCTCGAGGTGTGTGTCTTCACGGTGCAGTTGGTCAAAAAAGCCTGTGAAGCCTACCTTATATTTGGCCAGGCTCCATTCAAGATACGCGTCAGTCATCGCCGGCATTTGCTCAGCGAACACTTGGTTCCTGCGCAGGATCCGGTCACGACGACTACAATTATCGACGCGTCGTACACGATCCTTTCTGTTTAAAAAGGTGTGTGTCAGTTATTAACTCTCAAATGATAATGCTCACTTGTTCCAACAGTCTCCTAAAACACCTCTGACGAGGTCGCTGAACTCGCCTCCAGCGTGGCTGATGGGCAGTGGCTCTGTGCCGTTCAAGACATCGTCAAAATCATCGTCCTGCCATCCCGCTGTAGGGATTCATTTCTGGTTGGGCTTGTAGAGACTGTTTTTACCTTACCTTATGTTGGCACTTTTGTAGCTTACATAATCAAGCAATCTTTTCACCAGTTACCAGTATGAGTCTGAGTGCTGAGCAAGTTTCTATGATATTTCCTCTCCTCTGAGCCTTAAGCCTAGTCCAGAAACCCTTTAGGGTCGAATAGCAGCTAGGTTCTGCAAGACCCAACATTGTTCAGACTCACCATCTGAATTGTTGTACCTTCACCGCATCATCCTCGATATTGGGACAGCTGATATCTCTCATAGCTTCCAGTGCTCGTCGCTCATCAAGGCTCATTGCTATAAACGAGGTTAGTTTTTGCTTGTTTAATTGGCTTGTGTACTGAGGCTTGCCTTGTAGACGTATTTGCCGTCGCTCATTGGAAGTCGCCGCCTGCTGAACCAGTTCCCGGTGCTTGAACACCTTCGACACAGACATGACGGGCAGCCCGTTCTTGTCTCTGGAGGACCCAATATGCCAGATCGATCGCTGACCTGCACCAAACCGGTTCGGTGCATGGACGACCAATACTCTCTCATGAGTCAAATACCCTGAAATACCACTATGAAACCCTTTTCCCTTTTATCTGAAGTTGGACTGAGGCTAAGGGAATATTTTTTGCTTTTCTTTTTATTTTTTCAAGTTTATATGCCAGCAGCCTGAATATTTTAGTACATTTAATTCTGCGATGATTTTTGCTTAGTCAGCCATGGTGATGACCCAGACAAAATCCCACACATGTCAGGTGACTGTGAAAAATATTTCCCACATATGTTGTCCTGGAAAAACATTAGTAAACCCCTAAATACTAGGCTCGCGTCATTCTCACCCTTCAAACAAAGCAAAGCAAAGACAGCCACGCACAGGATTCATATCATGTGACACTTCTTACTCTCCTTCTGGATTTGTCATCAGGGGTTGGACAGGTCACATGACTTAGCAAATACCCAATGACTCACTATGACTCCCTCTGAATATATGACTCACTATGACTCACTCTAGATACTTACTATGACTCACTATGACTCACCTTGCACATATGACTCATTATGACTCTTGATGACTCTTGAATACACTAGTAGCACAGCCACATTTATTGTGTATATAATGACCTCAGTTTTTGAAATAAAAAAAGCAGATACCAGCAGGTAGTAGGGTGTTTCTCAGCCCAACTAACACTAAGTTGTGAAGTAAGGTGTGATAAGTGTCAGTACCAGTGTCAAGAACTGTTTCAAGACTGAGAGGAACACTCTCAAGAGACAGTAATACTGCAAGCTCATCATACTGAACGACCCGCTGTGAGCTCACTGTGTGCAACAACCAGCAAGCAAGGTACAGCCACACTTTTATTCTGATTTCTATTATTCTTTTTCTTTTCTTTTACTTTCACTGACCTTTGGTGTTCTTTGTCCAAAAATACTGATCCAAAATATTCGTGTTGTCTCTACGTCCACCTAAGACTCAGTAGTAGCATAGTGGGGAGACTTTAGGAATTGATAGTGAAGCTTGACCTCACTCATCTGAGTAGTGATACTGAGCCAAGATATTCTGTGCCTGCTAGGCTTTAGCCGTTGAAGAGGGGACTTGGTAGTAAACCCAAGGACGTCCGTTCCTAAGTCTGTTTGAATACTCAAAGAAGAGTTCCTTGACAGCAGGTTCAATATTGAGCTAAGAGTTCTACAATAAAGCATTTTGACTAGTCTTGACCTTTGATTCTACCTGTTCTGTGCTGAGGGGGTTTATCATTGTAATTCTGCACCATTTCTTTGGAGTATAGTTGGTACAAGGCACTGTTGTTGAAAGGGAACTTGAGGAAGAAACCCATATATTCTTTTGGTCATTGCCATACTGTCGGGCTGACCATTGTTTGTTTGTTTTCCTGTCAAGTCCAAAGATTGGATTGACCATCGTATTACTGATCTTGCAGAAGTATCCTTAGCTGAACATACCTTGGGTAGTATACAACTAGCCACCCACGAACGACCACGTTATCAGTCATTGGTATTTGTCTGAATCACTGACCGTGGAGATATTTGTTTTATAGGTGTTTATCTATAGATCATCTATCTAAGAAGACATCGCAGGGAGAGATTTGTCCGAATCCGCCGCTGGTGTGCTCGCATTATTATCTACAGCCCTCTAGTGTTGGTAAGGTTTTGTGCTTTTCAATTCACGTGACTGATTATCGGTACGTACTACAGTGTCTATTCGACCTGATCACAAAGTTGGGGAAAATGCTATGGGAGAATGCACTTCTCAATGCGCAAAAGGTGCAATGACATCTATGTTTTTGTAGCCTATGTTGACTTTGGCGATGCATAGGTGACCGAACTCAATCCTTCGTCTCACGTTGGATACCAGTTGACACATGCAGCGCTGCATGGTGCGCAACATTATGATGCAGCTATCGAAGCCTTCAAAATCATGTTGTCCAAGTTGGACGATTCTCCCGAAGTGCGGATGCAAGGTAAGCCTTGGGACACTCTTGCATAATCTCGAAACACCTATCTCGTTTTGCAGACAATTCCTCCATGCAACACTGACCCCTAGATCTAAATTATTTAGTTTGAATTGCGAGTGCTACCCGTAGTAGACTGAATAAATACTTTGTCTCTTACTCCTGCTGTGATATCATGAGTCCGTAAATGTGTTGAATATGTCTGTATTGTGTAGCACCTAAGGCCTAAGTAGTTGAACAATGAATTGTTTAATCGCTGTACTAGCGAACAGCGTCAGTGTGACATCCGAGTTCGTGCAATAACAACTACTTGAATCACCATCGTAATCGTAAATGACACTCATAACACTTTGTTTCGGCTTCGGCTCATGTATTGTATGTCAGGTTCTTGCTATTGAAGCATCCTGTTTGTTCAAAAATTCATAATATGGTGTTGTTCAGGATGCCGGGGATTCGAAGACACATGTTCGCTATGAGTTCGCTATGAATTCGCTATCCGTTTGCTATCCGTTCGCTATCCATTCAATATCTGTAGGTTTTATGTTCATCCATTGCATTCACTTGGGTACTCGAAGGGCTTCTACATTGTAAAAATCCTAGTGATGTACTGTATCTAGTTTGACTTCGAAGAATTTTACCTCTGAAAGGACTAAAACTAGTAAGTCGTACAGTAGGATGGCATCGTACTTAAGGCGCTCCCTGCAATATGAGCAGTGTGTGTGCACGACATCCCGAATACTTTCCAGTAGCATCCTCCCATCCATAGCTCGTTGTGCGACTTGATCAAAGAATAAAGTAGTGGCCCATTCTCCCTTTGCGCGAGAGCATGCAAGTTCTGTATCAAACACTTCATTCCACATGGTGCTTTCTGACCCCCAGTCCTTCTGCCATTGTCCAACGAGGATTTCAAGTGCTTGCAGTGTTGGAACATCACAAGAGCATGGTAGATCGTTGTCCATGCTGAGGATACTGTCATCATGATCGAACTGATCATGACTGTCCGATGGATCGTTGTCCATGCTGAGGACACTGTCGTCATGATTAAACTGACCATAACCGTTGTGCGATGGGGGTGAACCGATGGCCACAATATCTTCGCCGTCTGATGGGGGTGATCCGATGGCAGCCATGCCTTCGTCATCGAATGGGCTGTCAACGTGAGACTGGATTCCTTTTTTCCTATTGATCGATTAGTACCGAATTCAAATGAAAGATAAATGTTTACTTACTTGAGATTTGCTCTATTGCTGCCAGGATTCACATAAGTAAATGAAATTGAGAATGGATATAGGCTCACCGAGCTGTGCGAACACACGCCTTCGCATTTTGAGAGTCTCGAACACTGAAGGAAGGTAAGTAAGGTTCTCTGTGAGTTGAGTACGTCGACTTACCCTGGCTTGGCGAGCCAACGTTGTGTGGCCATGCGCTGCCTCGAGGAAGGACTGCAGGATCTGCTCCGACGACCCTTGAATTTGGTGTTAGAAAAACCACTCAGATGTTGGCGTTTGAGCTTACCATGCTGGCAAAAGGATGGAACGAAAGACGAACCTCCATGAGACATTGATAATCGATAACATATGCCTTAGCAACATGAAAATTACAGGTGCCAGCAGGATTACCGCTGTCTGGTCACCGGTGATGATCGACAAGTTTGACAGTATCTGTCGTAGTTTCAAGGTACCGTGTGCGTTGTGTGCGGAAGTATAATACTCATTCTCAATTACTATATTAGGCAATCGTTGTTGGTCCAAATATTATGTACGTCTGCCAAGCTTAGCCTTCGCCATGGCGTGTCTCATCTTGTGAGTGGCTTACATTCATATTGCTCTCACTGATTAACTGACTTGCAACTCATACCAGGTTCAACTCAAAGATACCATGGTGTCTGGCTGTTGTTCTGCACATCATGACCCATTGTTGTGAGGCTCCAACGAACCTTGCTGATCAGACCAACAATCACGAACATATGGTCAATTTCGTGGATCAGCTCGGAATATACCTCGACAAATATATCACCAGCTTGAGCTCTGCGGATCAGCTCAGAATATACCTCAACGAATATATCGCCAGCTTGACGAGGGAAGTGACTCGATCTCTGTGAGTGGATCTCTGGTGCGGTGCTCAATGCTTATGTTTTATATTCCAGTGGTGTTTGCAGTTGCAGCTCAAAATTCAGCAGACAGGGACATGAGGCATGCAGTAAAGGTACGTCTCGTCAGTATCACATTCTATACCGCCTCATGTGGCCTTAGCGGTTTCATATCAATGTTGCAATAACTCTGTAGCAACGCACATGTCGCGTGACGTGTTGTTTGTTTGCATCATCCGTGCCAATAGACACATACCGTCAAATTTTGTAGGCACATCTGCACACCAGCAATTCTTCACCACACCGACTACCATGAGCTATATCTACTATGCTAATGACTGCGAAGGTGACAGCAATTTCACCAATACCACCTCTACCAGATACTTCCCAGATCTCCTGACTGAAAGTGAAGATCCCGATGATGAGTTTCTCTCGATCAACGAGATCGATTGGGACAACCCAGCACTCTACACCATGCCGCTTATGAGCGACGAGATAGCAGCTCTCACGTCCAATACTACAGCCACCAACAACACACCACAGCTCCCTACCCCCTCATTAGTCACAAACTCGCACCCCGATCTCCCTGCTACCCCACCAGTCACAACTTCAAACTCGCCCCCTGATATTCCTCCTGGTGAACCTTCTGAAACACACTCCCTCAGTCATGAGAGTTCAGAGCCCCTGCGCCAGGCTAATTCATCCAGCTGGGCAGCACGGAACCCAACACACCCTATCATCCATCCTCGTACACCACCGCCTCGACTCACAGATGCACAGAAGGCTTCTCGCAAGATCAAGAGGGACCAAAAGATTGAGAGAATGAAGCGCTTACACGATGCCGTCGCTGGATATCTGGACAAACAGAAAACGAAGATTGAAGCACTGTCACGGGCTCACAACGTCACTCCGAAGCAAATTAACAATATCATTGGGAGTCAGACACACTATTGCACATCACGCAAGAGTCAATTAATCAATGCCCTTGTTCACGCCAAGGCAATGGAGGTGAACGTAGGTGAGTCGAATGAGTTTTTAGTTCTTGATGATATTGGGCTACTTATCTATGTTGATTAGATCTACCTGCAGGCTCTAGATACAGTTTGGCGGAGCTCTGCGACATGGTCGCAAATGACCCTCAAACAAAAAGTTTGACAAAGGACGAAAAGGCCGCTCACATCATGGCCCTTGAGGAGTATCGTGAAAAGAAGGTAGTCAGTATTCGAGCGAACAATTTGGCAGCTGCACGGGATGTTCTCGTCACGACAGAGAGGATTGTCAAGGAGGTGAGTTTGCTTTCATCTCGACTACAATAAACTGACTCTTTTTGAAGCTCGATGACTTGCAAATTCGCACTGGCATCTATGCAACATTGATCATTGTCCGCAGTCACATTAACAACACGACTCAAAGTGCCATGCACGGCACGGATAACTCAGAGGATTTTTGGGAGGATGTGTACGAGCACCCCATGGCTGACTTTCTCAGGCAATATGAGCAATGGGCTTGTACCCAGAATCAAAGTAAGTCTTAGTTCACACTGTCTTTTTATCTTGTTCATTGTCCCATAGATCTCAATGAATGTGATTCCTTAGAGGCAGTACAGAAACAGGTACGGAAATTGATTATTTGGGGCCTGGGTGAGCAACAACATTGTCTGTGTGCGCTGTCCCATCTAACATCATCTCCAGTCTCAATCACCGGCAAAAAGGACATAGTTATGAACTACACCAACTACGAAACAGCTATCGTCGAAGCCTATGGGGTGCACCTTGTAGGATGGCCTGAAGGTGTCGACTTTATCAGCCCGTCGAACATTGGCACAGTAGGTGACATTCGCAGGCTTCGGGATGCACTCAAGACTAGAATGTGCTCTTGGACCACTCTGTCACCAGCGGAAGTCAAGGCTCACACCGCTGAACTCGATGCACGCTGGTCAGCTGGGGAGGTGGTTCACAAGCCACGAAAAAAGTGTTCGGACGCTGGAGTAGCTCGGAAGCGCAAGGTTCTGCCCACATCAAACAAGAATAATCGAAAATCATCAAAGAGGGCGAAGGAGGCCCCTGCTCGGCTTTGGGAAGCCCCAAAAAGTGCTGAATTTGTAGAGTCATCTGACGAGGAGGAGGAGGAGGAGGAGGAGGAGGAGGATGAATAATGATATTACATAGCCTTACTTACTTTATGGACACAGAGGGTTTATGTATGTATTGTGATACTTACTTGAATGCCATGCATCGAAACGCGCCTCCAATACGTTCACATCATCATGAGATACGTGAGCTCATCGTACGACACAGCGAGCACGAACATTCGGATATTATTAGCCAGTGCCGGGAACACGTCACAGCATTGCCGACATGCCAGTGGTAGTACAGTGCTACCTACATCCTAGCAGTATAAAGTTCCTCTTTATTCAAACAATATAGAAGGAGGCTCTGACACACTGATTTTGCCTCGTCTTACAGGTGCGAACCCTATGTGTTATCGCCTATTATTACTGTCCTTATGCGGGAGTCACAGGTGCTAAGCAGATGGCCTGTTACTGTAATTTCCTTATTTGGACAATGCACATTTAGCTTATTGTTGTGTGCGTTCAAGTTATTGTTTTACAATGTGATACTTGTCGCTTGCCACGTTGACAATGGTCGATATTTAATGGGATCCTTCGTGGACCGATCCCTTTGTCTCTGGTGGACCGAACCATATTTGCTCCTAGAGAGGTGTCACTCATAATTCTGTTAATCCCCGCTTGGCTTCGTTTTTCACCTTTCACAGTTGTGCACAGTGCACGACTTTCCCTACCGTCACTCTTTCTTTCACGACCAACAGCACCATTAGAGCCAACGAAATGCAGAATTCCTTCATCATCATCCGAGCCGTATTTTTCAGTAAGTATACGATATCAGTAAATGTGATTCAGCCAGATAACATCGACGCAGCCCTCATCCTTTATTTCAATTTGCTAGCAACTATATTTGCAGGGTGGAATATCATGTCCTCTACTTCTTCTGGGATGCCAGGTGTGTTGTCTAGTATGGCGGTGATGATCTCGACTGACATGTTTGTAGCGCCTGGTGCATCAGCATTCCTTGTCGTAAACGCTGCCCTCATATTCGCTTTTACAATCCTGTATGTATCGTGTTGTTGACCTTACACAATCCCCTGACTTTTCTCATTAGAGCATATTCGGCGGAGGTTATATGCCCGAAAGCGAGGCCTTCCCATGTTAGATTTGAGTGTGGCTGGACTGTACTGATGGGCGTGCTTCAGCTAGGTAAGCTATCGCTGGCAATAGCATCTAAGATCTATGCCTCCTCTAACCACACTATCATTGGAATTTGAAGCTGCCAGCATTTATGTCACGACTGCTCGTTCCCCAGCGTTTTGTCAATCGCAATGTAAATATGGTTGATCAGTGATTTGTTGCGTAACTGACTTCCTTTGTTCTTTTAGCCACGTGGACTATCTGCGCATCTGCAGCACTACTTACGCCGATCAGCTGGTTAGCTACGTCCATCAGTATGTCATCATAATCATAACTCATGGCTAGCATTAGTACTGATGATGTGACAATAGTGCTCGTGTATTGTGTTACGTTATGCGTAATGGCAGCACTCATGTCCATTCTTGCCTGCCCTTTGGAAAATGCCTGTGAACGCGGTTCCTTGGTTCAACCTCGCTGATTCGATACCTGTCTCTCTTCCCTCACGCCCATTATCGGAAATCTCATCGTCCACTTGGGCTGAAAGCGGCAGTTCTTGCAGCATCTCCAATACATTGTGGACACTTGGGAAGGCTTCATAGAGTCGAAGGACGTGTCGTCGAACCCTCGAAGCCTATCCTGTTTTCCCGCAATTGTCCGTCCATCGATTCTACTCGACCGGCTTGGGCGAAGCAACTTGAACTTCAGACTCGGCGTGGTGTGGACCAACCTTTTTGACACAACGCTTGTCGCCGTTCAGCAGCCCTCCAAAGGTACCCCTGCCACCTCCAAAAGCTTGTGCCAGACAGGTGTCAGGTTCGAATGATTCCAAGTATTCTGGGACTTTGTAGATTTGCAGCTGGGTAAAAAATACATCCTGCTCAACTTTGACGCCACCGACACCCACCATTTTTCCGAAGAGGATTGCAGATCCTGATCTGCCCATCCACGACCACGATTGTCTGAGTGGATACCCGCGAGCGTGGCCAATTTTCACGCCGACTCTAATGTCCCCTTTTTGATCACCATCCTTGCACTTAAATCATTTTTTTGTCCCAATCAACATATCCAATTGTATCCCGTACCATATTTAGCTTTCATCGGACTTTAGGTATCACCACCAATGCTGTATTAAATATATCCACCGTCGTAATGCGTTGTAAAATTTGAATACCTCAGTCTGGACTAGTGACTTTCCAAGGATAGGTGACAGAAAGCATGTGTTATGAGATCAGCTTCGGCTCAAAACTCGGCTCCTTCGGATCCGCCCGTCTCCAACCAGGCTACCCGGCCCCGTAACTTGCGATTTTCCTCGCGAGCCTTTGCGAGTGCGATTGTGGTGCCCTCGAGCTGCCTTTTGGTCTCTTCGAGTTCCTCTGCAGTTTCTTCCCCTAGTTCCGCAGCTCCTACGGCAATGCCTGTTGGAAAGGTCGTGAGACGAGACGGGAGAAATGGGTCTAACTTGAAATTACCTCCAACAAGCTTTACTAACCGCCACAAACGAAGAATGATCAGCAGACCAGCCAATTCGCGTTGGCGTCCTTTGAGGACAAATTCGAGTATGAAAGTCGTGATGATAATTGCGGCATCAAACAGATGCAAAGTCGAATGCGGAACATCTGAGAATGGGTTGTAGAAGCGGATTCCAAAGGTCCAGAGGGCAACTGGTATTTCAATAAGAAAGAGCGTGGTTATGGCAAGGGATATGGTGGCCAGAACTTCGAGCCATGCAGGGCCCTCATCTAGCGGGGTGCAAGAATCGGACAAAACGGTGAATCCGAGATCAGCGAGGACACAAGTAGCATCAATCACAATCTACAGCAGTGCTGCACGTCAACAAGAAGCGACAATATTTGACAGCGGCTGCTCACCGATGTAATAATGAGTGTATGGAATGGCCGGGACTCTAAAATGCGCGAAATGTTCTCGCGCCAGACGTCTAAAGTCCCCTTGGGCGGCTCTGTGGGCGCACCATCCTCACCATACGGGACTGTGAGGAGAGGCTGTTGTTCTCCTGGACCGGACATGATGGTTTGGAGTCAATTGTGCCTCGCACTGCTTAGCGTTTTCTACTTTGCCTGTTACGGAAGTTCGTCCCTATTACAGCTGTTTGCAGAACGCTAAGCCGAAAAGAATATAAATATCGGCAAGAAAATATTCAACTTCCGACGGCCAATCAATCACGGAACAGAACGTTTCAAAGTCTACAGCAGCTTGAGCTTGTTAGATATCAAGGATCCAATGATCCGTTGTTACACTGGGCATCAGTAAACAATCAATATTTCAATGCGATACATTGAAGACGTAACAGGAGACTGGCAAGGTCCGGTTTGTGCAGATCGACCCTGCATCCTCGACAACCCTGATGTAAAAGTTAACGTTGAAAGACGGTAGTCATTTGATCTGTATTCATAGAGTTCTACGTTGACCATGGGGGTTAACAAGTTGTCACAGTACGAGAAGCTTGGGTGAGGATATGCTAAGATTAGTATCAATAATATATGTCCCTGAGCTCAATTGTAGAGATTACCTAATAATTCTACATATCCTATTACATCAGTAGCGTAGTCAGCCAATTAAAACTCGTTTATCGTTTATCGGACATTGAAATTCAAACATCGTTGTTGTGTGCAGCGCTTACAGTACTTACATAAGTTATTAATAATACACTGCTTTGGGGCCTGGGACTTCCACTACGGCGCCCTACCTAACACTTACTCAAAAAGGCACCACCCCCCCTTCGAATTCACTACTTCAGCGACCACTAATCATGAGGCAGTGTCTCTAGGACCGACCGTCACTGGCAGGGTGCGCTGAAAACTCGAGGCTGGCACTGCATACCACTTAGGCGACTAAATTTATCATGCTACTTCCCAGGAACACACTAGTTACTGCGGTATTAAATAACACACCGTGACACAGTCCTTGACTAAAAATGCAGCTGCGCACAGGCGGGGCTTGTCCCATCCCTCAGGGTGTCCGTCTGGTACTGACACAGTCTGTGACTGCGCCGAATTAATTTTGCTTCATCGTGACCACGTTTTGCTATTTCCTTTCTTCTTTCCTATATTACATTCAACTTCTTCATCTTTCGATTTCGCTGACTACGTCAGTCCCCCCTTTTAATGGCTTCAAATACTTCCTGGAACACGTTTCGGAAATTTCGTCGCATTGTTCTTGGT